AGCAGATACAGGGTTGAATCATATATGAGCATTTATTCCAATAATCCCAGCAGTGTTGGAGAGCAGCAGGTCATCCACAAAAATCTGCTCTGCACCCCACCATGAGTCAGCCGCTTATGTGAGGTAGGAGGACAAAGTTTACTTGGGGAAGTAGGCAAAAGGAATAAGAATGGGTATAATGGTTACAGATTATAGGCAATGTGGGCTGGGGGATTGCAAAGGGCAATGACAAGGTTAATCTTTCCATGATCATAGGTAGTTCTAGGATGTGAATAGACTTCATTCCAAGGTTAACTTCCTTGTCCTGGGGCATACTACTCTCAGGTTAGAATGTGCTTTCTCTAATCAGAACGGAATAATCCCGGTTAACAGAGCATGATTAATATTTCTTATAACTACAGCCAACAATCACGGTTAACAGATCATGATTCATATTTCTGCCCCAACAGTTGGAATAAGTTTATTTGTTCAGATTTTTTCTTATTAATATTTGTGGAGAAGATGATTAAGATTTGTATTTGTTCTTGGCAGGGAGCCTTGGAGCCAGAGTAGCAGTTTGGGCTTTAAAAATCAAACACATAAATAACTGCCACTTGTCTTTTTATTTTGATGGTAAAAATAGGTGGGCTCTGAACTACTTCTTGAGTTGCATTTCTGGTTTCACAAAGATTTGTAAGATATGGACAACTGCTCTCTATTCCCCCAAGAATTTGTTTGTAAGTCAAGTGACATCATAGGTTGACCTACTGGCCCAACTACGTCATTCCACATTTGCTGCTTTCCCTCTGGATGCATAATTTATTTTACCTTGGGGGAGGAGTCTTTCTACAAATTTTATTAGGCCCTGAATCTTTAGCTCCTAATTTTGCCAAGTTTCTGATTCAAAGTTATTAAGTCCTCTCAACTATGTTGTCAGGTTTCCGGTAGGAGAAACAGTGAGAAATTTTAAAGTGCCAGTTCAGATGCTACAAGTTCCTTTAGGATCCTTAGAGCTGTTTTGTTTTTTAAAGTCATTTGTCTCAGAAACTTCTGCATATCAATCAAAGCGCGAGATTCCTTGTCCCTGGGAGGTTTGGAATCCTCCTCTTTAAGGGGGATGGGGGGTGCCTTGAGATCAACTTAAAGGTCTCCCTTTAAGTTTTAAATTGTTTTGGCTAAGTTGGTCCATTTTATTTAAAAAGGCAAAAGAGGAAGGACAAAAAATGTTTGTACATATAACTTAACTAGCTAGAGTTCCCAAGGAAGGAACTTTTGGGGATCTTTTAGAGCAGTGGTTCTCAACCTTGGCTGCACATTAGAATCACCTGGGAATCTTTTTAAAATCCTGATTTCTGGGCCTCATCCTCCGGAAATTCTGTTTCTTTGTTACTAATGTTGTGGCCCCACCCCATAACAAAGAAACAGAATTTCCGGAGGATGAGGCCCAGAAATCAGGATTTTAAAAAGATTCCCTGGTGATTCTAATGTGCAGCCAAGGTTGAGAACCACTGTTTTAGAGGGTGAAGATCCATGTTCAAGATAAATTCCCCTAAAAGCTGTCAGGGGACCCCAAAAAGACAAAAGAAATGATAATAAAAGCCCCAGGTAGTTTGACTGCAGGGTTCAAAAAGCCTACTCTTAGATGAGAGGAAAATTCTTGTTTTTGTGTTTTACATGGACATTAACAGCTTTAGCTAAGCCTTGGGTCTGTTGGAGCCAGACTAATACCTAAGGGGGATGTGCCTCTGGGGTGGGGATTGTGTGCCATTTTACAGCATTCCTGGATGCAGGGAAATTTTTTCTGATGTTGGTGAGTGACCTGAAGTCAACCTAGGTCCTAACCAGTTCTGTGGCCAGACTTCAAAGACTTGATACTAAAAAAATGTAAAAGCTCCCATTAATAATTTTTATCTTGATCACATATTGAAATGATAATTTTATATTGGCTTAAAATGTTATTAAAATTAATTACACCTGTTTCTTTTTACTGTCTTTTTTTTAAAAAAGTTTTTAATTGGTTTTAGAGAGAGAGAGGAAGGGAAAGGGAGAGAAACAACGATGTCAGGGAAAACATTGATCAGGTACCTGCCACAAGCACCCCTACTGGGGGTAGAACTCACAACCTGGGTATGTGCCCTGACCAGAACTCGAACCAGGGACAACTGAGCCATACCAGCTAGGGCTCTTTTTACTGTTTGTTTGTTTGTTTTTTTATGAGAACATTTAAAATTACATATGTGGCTTGTATTGTATTGCTATTGGATGGTGTTGTACTAAGAAAGTCACAGAGTCTAAAAACATTAAATCTAAAAAGTGTTGACAAGTTTGGGAGTGGTGCACAGGATCAAGTCCTAAACAGCTAAAGGTGGTGTCTGTTAGGTCGAAGCCAGAATGGTGAGGGATTACGAATTTACTCGATCATCTGCACACCAGGTGGCTGAGCCTGGATGGCTCCAGCCCCCAATGACGGGAGTCAGCAGCTTTTAAAGGACTTTTGGTGGGCTTTTTCTGGGCGGAGACTTCTTTATGCATACCCGGAGGGAGATAATGGAATGTAGCCACAGCAAATAAAATGTAGTCTCAGCAAAGGGAAGGGAATGTCCATAGTGAAATGACCTGAAAAGTTCCTGGGGGACGGGTATCAATTCAATTACTTGATCAGAGGTGTTCTAAAGAAGTAGGAAGGTCCAGGCTCTTTCCTGTTATATCCAAACTAGAGGCCTGATGCATGAGATTCGTGCATGGGGGGGAGGGGGCGGGGCCCTCAGCCCGGCTGGCACCCTTTCCAATGTCCGACTGCTGGTTTAGGCCCTATCCTGAGAAATCAGGCCTAAACCATCAGTCAGACATCCCTCTCAAAATCCAGGACCGCTGCTTCCTAACCTGCCTGTTGTCCTGATCCCCCTAACTGCTTTCCCCTTCCTGCCTGATCATCCCTAACCACCTCTCCTTGGGCCCCCCACCATGTCTTTGTCCCAAAGGTAGTCCGGAAGATGTTCGGTCTAATTAGCATATTACCCTTTTATTAGTATAGATGCTGTGTGATCAGATGGCATCATGCTCCACATAGCAAATAGAATTTACCCAAATCTCTGCCTATTTCAAAGGTCTGTAAATCCATTTTTATTGTGAGGGTCCTGAAGCTAGTCTAGTTAAAACTAGGTGATGGAAGAAGGGTCGCACTCCATTCATAGCTCCAGGTCTGCTATTGAGGTTTTTCTAAATCCAGCTTGCAAAAAAGGGACATCTTGTTATGATATCAGTCCCTTGGGGATTTGAGAATAGACCCTGGGAGCAGCAGTAATATGAATAAAAAGAACACAACTGTGATTTCCTATTAGAGTTTAGGCCACATAACCGTTTCTCAATGATAATTCTTCTCCAAATAAGTACCTGATAGACCAGCGGTTATGTTCAATTTGTAACAATGAAAATACATCCTGCATATCAGATGTTTACATTACGATTCATAACAGTAGCAAAATTAGTTATGAAGTAGCAACGAAAACAATTTTATGGTTGGGGGTCACCACAACATGAGGAACTGTATTAAAGGGTTGCGGCATTAGGAAGGTTGAGAACCACTGTGATAGACCATATTTTTTCAGACATGCAACACATTTATTGAGCATTAAAACTGTCAGAAAAAAAAATTAAAAAAATAATACTCTGTCAGGCACTAGTCCAGGCCCTAGAGATGCTTCAGCAAATAAAATAGGACCAATGGAGCAGGCATCCTAAAGATACTCTAATGCTAAGTTGTGAATTACATGGGCTTCTGCCAAGTGCCCTTTACTTATGATGTGTTAAGTTAACCTTTGACTTGTAAGATATTTTATCTCCTCAAAGGGCTTGAGAAATTGCCTTCTTGCTTTCATTATGTTTATCACTTCCTCCCAAAAAGGAGGTGTATGTGTGGTGGGAAGAGAGTGGAGCAGCAATTCGCCGTGTATTTTCTCTTATTTCTTTCTGTTTCTGAGTTTTCATTGAGCAGATAATCTTTTCCCACAGGAAACCTAGGCATGGAAACACTTCTTCCCTAATTGGATAGGACTCCACTGCTGCAATTACAGTGATTTGGGAAGTTAACTTTAATGAAACTACGAATCTTTACTCTAAAAGACTAAGTACTTTGGTACTCAAGTATAGGTACTCCCAGGTGAAAACAATATACAGTTGACTCCTGAACAACACGGATTTATTTTAAAGTGGCAGAAGTTCAGTTAACCCGCGCTGTTCAAACCTGCGTTGTTCAATGGTCAACTCTGTGGTTGAGAATCCAACTATGTGGGTGTAGTTATACGTGGATTTCCCACTGCACGGGGAGCAGGGGCATTACTCATGGGTCAACAGCAGATGAAAAAAGTTTGCTAAGGTTTTTTTAAGTGTTTCAGTAGTATTAAATTTGTGGAAGATTGTAAAGCCCTTTGTCAGTTTTCATCCCTTGGGTTTTACTGTTTTATATCAAGGGTCAGCAATTCATGACAAGTATGTCACAGAGAGCCCTCAGCTGGTTGCCAGGATACACTTCTCCTATTTGTCTATTATAAGAGCTAGATGCATTTGCTGCACTTCCCTTCAAAGGAATTCCCACAGTATGCTTCCCTGCTTAGGCATCTGTGACTCTTTCTGTCTCCACATCCCAGATGGATGCTAAATGGACCATTTACGCCATCACTATCAGCATTTTGCCAGCTCTTTTATTCTTGGTTTTCTTATTCTCAAGAAAAATCTATGCTATTAATTGGTCAGCTCCTACATCTGGAGCCATTTTTGTTTTTTAAAAATAATTGCCTCTTTAGCTTTATCTTCAAGAGTTTTTTATTTATATAAAGGGAAGTTATTTCTGAAGCTACCTTATAACTCTTATGTTTCTATCTGAAGAGAAAGTAGGACATCTTATGGTATTTCATCTGATTGGGCTTTTTCTATCCGTAAATAAGAACTTCAGTTGCTGAATAACTTTAACACCTTTGCTCTTTGCCTGCATTTTGAACACAATATTGCAATATATTTTTCAGGTTTTCAATTCAAAAACAGCTGAACTACTTAGTCATCATCAAGTGGAAATAAAACAAGAGTTTCCAAGAGAAGGGTATGTTTCCTAATTTAATATGTAAACATATATCGCATTTCTTGGGCCATCTCACCCCACCTGCCCAGGGGCTTTTTAAAGTAAACTTGACCAAACACCTTCCTAAGAAGACTTGAGAGATGAAATAGGTATTAGTCAGGAAAATGAACAAAAACGTGGTAGCTCAGCAAAATATCTGGGTACTTGATGGCTTAGGAATTCAGTGACAGAAAAGAAGTGGATGATAAAGTAATAAAGCAATGATGTATTAAATATCAGAAATCCTACATTAATTTTGAAGTCATTTAATTCTGGGTCTGCATCATTGCCCAACCGCTGTTTGCTCATTAGAGTGTATGTGTTTTTTTAAATAAAGATATGTTTTTCTAAAAAGCACTCACATATCTAATACTAAAATTGTCCTTTTTTACAGTAATGTTCATATGTAGTAATTGTGATTAAATAGAATGTTGAGTATATTAAACAGCCATTTTCAACCGGCGTGCTGCAAGACTTTTTAAAACATGAAATACCTGACTATTTAGTCAATGGCACTGACCTCTTTTCCCTTAGATTGTCAAATTAAAAAATGACAACAACCAACACAATAAATGAATCAAAATCATACCTAATTTTTTTTCTCAGATTGGCAAAAAATATTTATTGGCGTGCTGCAGAATTTTAGTAATTAGTTTATGTGTGCCATGAGATGAAAAAGGTTGAAAATTGCTGGTTTAAAATTTTATGATATGTATGATACAGCCACTTTGAAAAACTGTGTGGCAGTTTCTTATAAAATTAACCATACTTCTGTAGCATTGCAACCTTAGGAGGATTTAATCCAAGAGCAATGAAAGCATATGTTTAAAGAAAGACTTATAGATGAATGCTTATAGCAGCTTTATTCATAATAACCCAAACTGGAAGCAACCCAAATGTCTGTCATCAGTAGAACTGGTAACAATGAAATACTATTCAGCACTTTTTAAGCAGTGATCTGATACATGCTACAGCATAGATAAATCTGTTGATATCATGGAAAGTGGAAAAGGCTGTACATGAAAGAATGCATGCAGCATGGCTATATCTAAAATTCAAGAGGCTAAACTAATTTAGAATGGCAAATCTAAAAATTTGTTGCCCATGCAGTATGTGATTGACATAAGAGAGCCATGAAGGAATTTCTAGAATGATGGAAACTTTCCATATTTTGACTGGGGTGTTGGTTAGATGAGTTGTATACATTTGTTAAAACTCAACCAATTGTGCACTTTAGATCTGTTCATTTCACGATAAAGTTTCCTTCAATTTAAGAAAGAGAAAAGATTGGTGTCCTACCAAATTTTATAATTTCTTTCTATGAATTCTTTCTGTTTTAAAGAATTCCTTTGTTTCGTAATAAAAGCTATTGATATGTTAGCTGCATTAGAGTGACTCTCCACAGGCCCGATCCCAGTACAATTTGGAGAGAGGATACATGTGTCTTGGAGGGACGAAAATTAGAAATATGTTGAGAGATTGGGTTTCTGGAAAAAGAGTTTAGAGACAGAACTCAAAGCTCAGGGAAGCTAGGCCAGCCTGATGAAGGCAGAGAAGAAAGGCATTTAGAACTCTCTTGCTACTTGCAGATCCTAGGGTAGTATTCTTGTAACTTGTGTCATTTCTGCTTTTGGGGTTTCCTCAATCACCATTGTTTCTCCCAGGTTTCTCTGCCTCATCATTTATTATGAGCCTTTCGGCCTTCCGAGGCCCTGGTTCCTTACCAAAATTGCACTGGGATTGGGTCTGACCAATTGCTTGTCTACTTGACATAGTTATTAGAACACATTTCCAATTTTCCCTAAATACTAACAAAACATTTTGAGGGGAAAAATGGCAAAATAGATTAGTATACTTATTTGACTTTTCAGAATTCCTTTTAATAGGTAGGTAGATATCAGTCTACTTAGAAATAACTAAGAAAAGAAAGAAATAGTGACTAATGAAACATGCAGATAGCTTTATCAATTTATCAAATCCACAGGATATAAAGAATTGGGGAACTAATTTCTGACTGGATTTGAAAAAATAATTTTAAAATAGGTAGAATATTTGTTATTTTGTGACCTGTTATTACTTGCTTCCTTTCAAATGATTGATTACTATATGAAGAATAATCAAAATGCAAATGAATATATGCAATAGAAAGCAAGTCAGCAATTGGCAGGGTAGGAAGGAGGGATTTCAAAGGGGCATGAGGCAACTTTCGAGCATGATGAATATGTTAATTATTGGATGTGGTGGTGGTTGTGATGGTTTCATGGGTATTTGCATATGCCCATGGTACATATGAAATGTCCACAGCTTACTGTATCAATTATAGCTCAATAAACTTTTTACATTAAAAAAAAGGTAAGGGAAGTAAAATAAGCTTTTCTTTAAATCATTTCTTTAGAGTATTGAATACGCTTTGCTTTGCTCATTTGATTTTAATTTATGCAACAGCCACACTGTCTTAAGTGAACATTTCTAGAGATATAAATGTATTGCTTTCTTGTGGACTAACCAAATGCATTCTTTTGTTCAAAGATGGGTGGAACAAGACCCTAAGGAAATTCTGATGTCTGTCTATGAGTGTATAGAGAAAACATGTGAGAAACTTGAACAACTCAATATTGACATTTCCAACATAAAAGGTATTTTTAATAGAATATTTTTCTCCGTGGTATGATTATCTCAATAAAATCTATTAATTAATTCATTTCATTTATTCGGCGCATAATTGAGTACCTATCCAGTGTCAAGCAGGTCCCTGTTCTCATGAAGCTTTTATTTGTGGGGGGAGGGAGGTTTTGACATCAACAATAAGAGCAAATACAAGCTAATTTCAATTTGATAAGTTCCATGCAGAAAATGAAACTGTTCTATGGTAGGGTGTGCCTAGAGAGGCTTTCTTTAGATTGGATGGCCAGAGAAGGCCTCTTTGAGGAGATGACACTGTTACCGAGGTCTCAAAGGCCAAAAGGGGCCAGCCATGCAACTATTTGGGGGAAGAGTAGTTGAGAAAAAGGAAGCAGCACATGCAAAGGTCCTGAGGTAGGAATAAGCTTGTGGCACATTGCTGGATCAAAAAGAAAGCCAGCATGTCAAAAGTGGAGTAAAAGATGGGTGAGGGGTAAGGGTGGGTATATAGGTAAGAGGTTTCAATAGCAGTTGAAACCGGGGAAGTAGCTAGGGCTTTAGGAGTTTGGATGTTATTTTTTCCTCACTGAGGCTATTTTTCCGTTGATTTTTAGAGAAAGTGGAAGGGAGGGTAAGAGACAGAGAGTGAAACATTGATGTGAGAGAGACACATCAATTAGTTGCCTCTTGCATACACCCTGATGAAGAGGCCAGGACCTAGCCTGCAACCAAGGAAGGTGCCCTTGACCTGAATCAAACCTGAGACCCTTCAGTTCGTAGGCCGACACTCTATCCACTGAACCAAACCGGCTAGGGCTTGGATGTTATTCTTAGGATTACAGAGAGCCATGAAAAGGTTTCAAGGGATGACAGGATCTGACTTGTGGTTTAAAGACAGCTTCCTGACTGCTATGTGAAGCCGTGTGGAGAGTGGATAGTAGAGGCCTAAGTTGGATACAGGGAGACCACAGTAGAGCTTGCTGTGGAAGTTTTGAGAGAAAGGATGATGGCAGTGAGGGTGGGGAGAACGGGCCAGAACTTCTTGATGGATTGGCTGTCAGAGTAGTAAAGAGAGGATGGGGAAGATGGGTCAGAAATGATGCTTGGGTTTTTGCTAGAGCTTTTAGATAGATAGGGATGCCATTTCCTGAGGAGAAAGACTAGAATGAGGAGCAATAGGAGGGAGGGGAGGTTGTTTGAAATAAAAACACTTTGCTTGTAAAATCTCCCTAAAAATAATGGTTTGAGTGTATTAGACTATTACAGATCTCTTTAATTCCTAGTAGTTTTAATAGAAAAACTACCTGTTTGGCTTTGCATCATTTATACAGTGAGAACAAAAATAACCCAGTCATCCAAAATTGAGAAAGTAGTGTAAAGGGTAGAGCATAATGTGGTAATCGCCATATCTTTGTAGTTTAAACTTTTCAAGTTCATCATCCAAGGGCTATTTTTTTCATCAACTCAAGGTGGATGAAACCATCAATTGGTGATGGCAGTGTCTTGAGATTCACATTATCATTCTTGGCACTGAGATTTACCAGCATTCCTGAGATGAAACTTTGATTTTTTTTTCAGACTTTCCCCTATTGGTATATTTTTAAAACTCACTAAAAAAGACAAACATAATCAAACCATTCATTCAGCAAACCTATGGAGTGCCTACTGTGTGCTGGGTGTGCTAGGGAAACAATGGAACACAAATAGTGTTGTGCAGCTAACCGTCAAGTGGAGGAAACATGTGAATCCAATAATCAATAATTATAAATTAATGGAAAGTTGTAACAATAAGATAGTTATGTCTGTTATTGTAGACTTTTTAAAGAGAAACAAACACCCTTGTGTAGATTTGCTATTTTGTTAAAATATATTTTAATGATTTCAGAGAGGAAGGGAGAGGGTCAGAGAAATGGAAACATCAATGAAGAGAGAGAATCATTGATCGGCTGCCTCCTGCATGCCTCACACTGGGAAGGAGCCCACAACCCAGGCATATGCCCTAACTGGGACCTCCTGGTTCATAGGTCGGTGCTCAACCACTGAGCCATGCTGGCCAGGTGACATTTTTTTAATATCTTACCCTCATTTTATCCCTCTAAGTGGCAGTGTTTCAGACTTTTTGGAGTTGCAGTCATTAAGTTTCAGATGAGTTGTGCATCGAAGTGATTGTTGGTCATTTCCTTGAATTGTTCTCACAGCTTTCATAGTCTAAACAGGGCGAACATATAAGAGGCATTCAGCAGCACACTCTGATGTCAAAACATTCAAAATCACCTAGGTGGCCATGCATTGGATATAGATTCCAGGGCGATTGGCCATGGTTTTGACATCATTGTACCTCCTTTAAAGGTAAGGTAGGCAACTTATTGGCCCCCTGTTTTTTGTTTTTATTATTATTTATTTTGTTGATCCTCACTTGAGGATATTTTCCCATTAAATTTTAGAGAGAGAAAAGGAGGAAGACAGATAGAAAAACATCGTTGTGAGAGAGATACAGTGATTGGTTGCTTCCTGCATGCACCCTGACCAGGGCCAGTGATCGAGCCTGCACCCTAGGTACATGCCCTTGACTGGAATCATACCTGCAACCCTTCAGTCTGCAGGCCGACACTCTATCCACTGAGCCAAACCAGCTAGGTCTTCCTGGCCTTCTGTACCCACTCAGGTACCATTCCCTTTTCGCTTGTTTGTGGTGTATGTGAAGATGACATACAACTCCAATCCAAGTGACTTGTCTTTCACTTGCAGTAACTGATCTGGAAGAACACTGAACATGCTTCTATCTGCTCTACACTCCTGTCTGGCCAGTGAGAAACCCATAGCTGAGCCAAAGTGACCCAGCACTTTCTTCTCAGCACTATCAGCCTACGGCCAAGGAAGAGAATGTCCCACAAGCCCCTCCATACCAAGCCAGTTATGCTCAATGACCCACCCCCACCCCTGCCAGATAATTTATTAATTGGCTCTGCCAAGGACCAAGCTTTTGCTTGCCTATATAGAACAATACATCACAGAATGCTAATGCTATAGGATCTTCGGTTACTAAGACCTAGCTGCAAATGAGGGAAAGGGACTTATTGCAGGTCATGTGGCTGTGCAGTGGTTAGATGACATTAAATCACAGCTCCCCTGTCTCACGGTCCCGTGCTTTCTTTCCTGAGCCACACTGATAACCTCACAAACTTTGTTTTATTTTTTTAATATATTTTTATTTCAGAGAGGAAGGGAGAGAGAGAAACATCAATGATGAAAATCATTGATCAGCTGCCTTCTGCATGCCCCCTACTGGGGATTGAGCCCACAACCTGGGCATGTGCCCTGATCAGGAATCGAGCCGTGACCGCCTGGTTCACAGGTCAATTCTCAACCACTGAGCCACGCTGGCTGGGTATGAGAAGCTATTTCACTGGACTTTGTAAGAAAAACAATTTCACTTGGCACAAAGGAATTAAGATAGAGGGAAAAGGAGTGGTCAGGGAGGAACCTGTGACCAACGAATCAAATGGAAATAGCTCCAGATTACATTCTGAATCCTAGTTAGAGTGAGCCAATAAAGGTAATATGAGGGACACAGAATAGTGACTTATGGATTGTGGCTAAGGGAGCAGCCAGCCTGTAGTGGGGAGCAGTGGGAGATTTTAGTAGACCATGAATTCATTCCTAGCCACCATTGTAAAGTTGTCACATTCACAGTAGTACGCTTTAGCAACCTGTGACTGAGGTCCCACTGAGGTCTCTAGCCTCTATTGTGCCCATAGTACTATCAGGGAATTCATTCCTCCTTTGCCTAGTCCCCATTCTCTGTAACTCTTAATCCACTCGCCTCAATAATGATGATGATGAATAGTAGCAGTAAGTAACATTTATTGAGTGCTTACTATGCGCCAGGCACTGTTTTAACATGCAAATCCTGTAAAGTGGGAACTGTTATGCCCATTTAACAGAAGATAAAACAGACCCAGGGTCCCCTTGCTAGGAAGCAGAGGAATTAGAATTTCAACCCCAGCAGTCTGGCTTCAGAGCCTGAGCTCTACTGAATAGTGCCCCAAACTTGTGATACAGCTTTTTCTAGGTCCCATTTGAGCAAATAACCGTAGCCTTCTGCCCTACTTGAGGCTCCTCCCTCCACCTGTGTATTAATCTCATCCCCTCCTGTCATTAAGAGGATCAGAGCTATGTCCCATTGATTCCCAGCCTTGCTCCTGCTCCCCGTTCTCCTTTCTCTCTTATTTAAAATATATTTTTATTGATTTCAGAGAGGAAGGGAGAGGGAGAGATAGAAACATCAATGATGAGAGAGAATCATTGATTGGTTGCCTCCTGCATGCCCCATGCCCCCTACTGGGGATAGAGCCCACAACCCAGGCATGTGCCCTTGACTGGAGTCGAACCTGGGAGTCTTCAGTCCGCAGGCCAACGCTCTATCCACTGAGCCAAACCAGCTAGGGCCGTTATCCTTTCTCTTAAGTCTTGTAAACATTTGTGCTTTCTAGTTTAAAAAAAAAAACAACCCCAAATCTCTTCCTTCCTTGGAGTAGAATCTCATTCATCTTTGTCCCTTTAGAAAAGGTTCAATAAAGTAAATCATTGGATAAAGATTATTTAGAACAAGGGAGCCGCTGGTCCCCCTCAGCTCTGTGTTGTTCAGAATGTTCCTATTGTGTTTTATTCTGGATGGACAATTTGAGTAATACAGATCATTGTATGTTCCTGGAAGAGGAGGAATATTCCATATAGAGGTGGGGCAGTGTAAGGAAATTGGGTTGTTTAGACTAGACGGGAAGAGAAGATTTGAGGGACAAAGTAGCTGCTTCAAGTATGAAAGAACAACATGGAAGAAAGATTAACCTAATTCTGTATATCTCCAAAGAATATTGCTAAGACCTAAAAGTGGAAGCTACAAAGAAAATGATTTGATTTTTTAATAGCAAAGCTATGCAGTAGACATCTTCTGCCTGGAGAAGAGGTAGTATCTTGTCACTAGACGTGCTGTCTGAATGGTCACATGATAGTGATTCTATAAATTGCCTTTAAGGTCTGTCCTTATCTTAAATTCTGGAAGATCTTGATACATATAATATATATCTATATATCTATATCTATCTATATATATATATATGCACACACACATATATACACACATACACACACACAGTGGGGCCTTGACTTACGAGTTTAATTCGTTCCGAGTAACTCAAATTACTCTGTCAACTCAATGCAAAAAATCAGCTGAGAGACAGCTGGTATCTCAAAAAACTTGTTAGTCAGGACACTCGTAAGTCAAGGCCCCACTGTATATATATTTAGCCCAGTGGGTTCAACCTGGGCTGTACAGTAGAATCACCTGGGAAATTTTAAGAAAAAATATTAATGCTCAGATTCCCCCCTAGGTCAGTTAAATCAGAGCGTTTGGGCCAGGGTCTGAGCATTGGTATTTTTTAAAAGCTTTGCAGCCGATTCCAATGTACAATCAAATCTGAGAACCTCTGATTTAGCTGAATTGAAAAAGATGGTATGGATTTGTATTTTACTTATAGTAACTTACTGTAATTATAGCACTTGAGTTGTAACTATAGGTCAGTATAATGTAAATGCCATTTCATATTGTATTTATGCTGATTAAAATTCATATGGCCCATATTATATTATTAAAAGACAGAAATAAAATTGAATTACAAACTAACCATAATGTGCATCTGCCCAGCATGAGGGATCTAATCTGTGGCTATTTTCTTAAAATGTAGGTGTGTGTACACACACACACACACACACACACACACACACACACACGGAAATTTCTTGTACCAGTTAGTAAATAAACGAATGAGGTGATTGTTGGTCTCCTTAGAATAATAAATTGGGTATTGTAAATTTGGAAAGGTACTGCATTCCCTTTTTAAGGCAACCTGGAAGCCTTTCATTTGGATATTGATCTGGGGTTCATGTCATCTTGTGCTGGGAATGAAGCAGGAAGCAGTCTGTAGCAATAAAAAGAAACACTTAACATTGGGTGTTCACTTTTCCTGGGGCCACTTAAAGAAAATAAATTCAGTACCACTACAAATGTTCCAGATATTTTTGTTGTTGTTGTTCCAGATATTTTTTGAATTGTTATGTTTAGTTGTGCCTGTAAAAAGAGAGAGAGAGAGAGAGAGAGAGAGAGAGAGAGAGAGAGAGAACGATTCTAAAGTTGTTTTCTTCTTGTTTAATTTCTGTTCCCTTCTGTTTAACTTTCTCTTTAAAGCTATTGGTGTCAGTAACCAGAGGGAAACCACTGTAGTCTGGGACAAGATAACTGGAGAGCCTCTCTACAATGCTGTAGGTAAGCTGTTGTGCATGGATGTCAAATGCAAGGCCTTTCTCCACTTGCAAATGTTGTCATACTAAACTATCTGGCTAAAAAAAAGCATGTGGTCATGATTCCTATAATTGGATGGGATGGGCAGAAGAGTCCTCTAAGAAAATTATTGTGAGATATATACACCATTTTTAGCTATTTATTCACATCTTGAATTAACTCTTTCCCCATTTTCTGATTATTTGTATTATACAAATGGGTTGATGTTGCCAGGACTGTTTGATAATCCCTGCTGTTTCTGACACCTAAAAGAGATCTCCACTCCTCCTCCTCCCCTAAAACATCAAAATTACAAGTGTTCATAGTTATATCTCTGTAAAGCATTTGTGTACTTGGGTCTTCCCACCTAGAGGAATTTCAATAGATTTTTCTGAGGTTATGAAAATTAAAATTTTAGCTCACTTTGCTACAAACTAGGCTATTTCAGTAGGAGTTCAAAAACTCAAATCTCAAGTAATCATTAGATATCACATCTCATTAAATGTAAATGACCATGAGTATATTTTGTCATCACTCTTAGCACATGACAATGGAGCACTGAATGAGTATGTCACTTGCTAAAAGGAAAATTTCTTTCTAAATATATAATCACTAAAAGGCATCATTCTGTCACAAATAGCAAAGCACACTTTTTGTCAATCAAATACCAAGGTGTGGGGTGGGGAATGGAGGCAAAAATTGTCAGAGATGGGATGATTTCTAGAGTGAGCTATTTTTACTTTACAGTGACTTTAGTAATATAGTTACTTTAGCATTAATTGGAAGAAAGTGATAAAAAATATACTAAAAAGTTGCCTTGTGAAGAGTAGCATGAATCCTTTGGAAATAATTTTTTTATTAAAAAGGAAGGCATTTAACATTATTGTGTTATAAGAAAGCATTTAGTATGTCTTCTGTGTTTATGATTTTTTAAAAAGACTCAAAAACTCTCCAAGAATTGCAGCTAAAGATCCTATTACTCAAAAGTACATCTTTTACATCTTTATTTTGTCCTTATTCTCATTCTGAATATAAGTAAAGCAGGATATTACCATTTCAATGGCTAGTACCTAAGAGAGTATTTTAGATCAAGTTTAGACAACTTCTTGAACTAGTTAGGGTTTTCCTTTTTTTGTTCTCCTAGTGAAAGGAAGTGGCTACTCAAAGGAGCCAGAATGTTCCTGTTAAACTCTAAACTTGAATTGTAAAAGTGCAACTTTGGACTTTGAGTTGTCATTTTTAAATAATGCAACTAGGTTAGTTGAAGTTATGCTTATAGTGAAGGATTTCCAGTAAATATTTTACCAGAAAAACTTCCTGTTTGTGATGTGCTTGTTTACTCATTTCCTTGTCTTCTACCTGTGTCCCTCTGCACCCCTCCCCCATTCTCTGTGCTTTAGAGGATTAATTCCAACCATACCTATGGAATATGAAGATCTTCTCTATATTGAACCAAATGCATGTTTTGAGGTCTTTTTGCATGTTTAGTACTATCCTGGGTATGTTACACAGGACAGGACTTATTGGCTGTTTTTGTAAGCACTTTAGAATCTAGTTTTGAAAGAGACTAACAAAATTAGGGAATAGTTGATATTGTGTATTGCTAAGTTGAAGAGGAATTAGAGCAAGTACAGGTTAGTATGGATTTTGAATTTTTGGCGTCTCTTGGGGGAAGGATGAACTCCATTTTAGGCCTGGATGAATGTATTGGGTTACATTAGGAAAAGGGAGAATTAAAGGATAGTGTAAACAAGCTATGAAGGTGAAAATATGTATATTTATTTCACCAAAGAGTGAAGACACTGATCAAATTTGAGCCTAGAGTGGCTTATTTAAGCGTTTTAATAGAACTAGCAGTGATAATAATGTTCAATAAGTGCTAACTGCTATTACTGTTGATTAGGGATTGTGCTAAACACTTTACCCATATTATTTAATCTCAGTGTCCCTGAAATAGATTTTACTAGCCTCATTTTCTAAATTAATTATGGAAAAGCTATATAACTTGTCCAATGCTGTGTAGCTATAAGTAGAGTAAAGCCAGTTTGAAGATAAACCTCTCTAACCCCAAAGTCTGTGTTCTAATTTTGATAGATAGGGGTTGATGAAGATAGAGAGAGCCTGAAAACCATGCCCTGGGCAACATGGGGCAAAATGGGACAAAAGTGGTGGAATGGGTTATTTCAAATGCACCTGTCTGCTGAGAACATCTAGAGAAGTGGAACCAAAGAAAACCCCCAAACACCCAATTATCTGAAGGACTGGACAGCTACCAAGGCAGTGAGGAATTGTGGGACCAATATCCAGGAGAGAAGGAAAGCCCAGAGAGATGGGCCTGGCATTTGATGTCCCTAGAGATAACTGTCAATTCAGAAAGGAATATCTGAGGGCTAAGCAGCATTGTCATAGGTTATGAAGACAGAGAGACAAAGGATAGAGTCAGAAGCTGCCAGTGGTGGGGTAAATATTGGTAAGATCACAAACTTTTGATTGGGACTGTGGAGGGTCAATCCTGGGAGTAAAGTGAACTGAAAATAAACCACAATCTTCACAGAAATTAAAGCCCAGATTCAGATAACTTTAAACCCTGATTAGATTAAGATGTTTTGAGGTTGCTAATGCTCCTCATCTAACTTCTTTTCAGAGTGTTCATATACAATTTCTAGTTTTCTATAAAAGAATAGTCAAGCTTACAAAACAACACATGACTAAAAACAGAGGCAAGTGACATTAGGAACAGACCCATAGGAAATCCTGATATTGGAGTTACCAGGCTTTAAAATAATTGTGATTACCTGGCTTGTGTAGTTCAGTGGATTGAGCCTCATCCCAGGCACCAAGAGGTTACCATTTTGATTTTTGGTCAGGGCACACGCCCGGGTTTCAGCTTGATCCCCAGTAGGGGCCGTAGGAGGCTACCAATCATGTTTCTCTCTCATTGATGTTTCTAGCTCTCCCTCTCTATTCCTTTCTCTCTAAAAAATCAATGAAAACATTTTTTAAAGTAAAATAATCGTGATCAGCATGTTCAAGCAATTCATTGACAAGATGGATGACCTTAGCAAAAAATTAGAAATTTAAAAGTGGAAATTCTAGATAGAAGTAGTGAACCATAAGAGGGATCAGAAGTAAACAGATAGACAAAGGTTTAGAAAATACAGAAGAAGAAAAAACTAAGAAAAATATGGAATAATGCGAGGAGGTTCAATGCATTTGTAATTGGAGTCCCAGAAGAAATGGAAGAGAGATATTAAAGTTTCTGAAAAGAGATGAAAGATATCAAGTCCCAGAATCAAGAAGCACTTTGATCCCCAGGGGAAGATGAATACAGAAAGCCATACATAAACATATGCTGAGACCTAAAGATAAAATGACAAATTTTAAAGTAAGCAGAAGTAGGAGAATTTCCAGGTACTGTTAGTTGGACATGAAATATACTTGCTGAAGAAACTGAAGACTGAGAAAGGCTATTTGTTTTTGCTTGCAATAAAGGTGTGTTTGTATACTGACATCTTTTATATCAGATACAATGATAGGCATATAAAAAAGTTCAAATGGGTCCATTGAGGCACGGATGGCCCATGTTAGTAGTTTCGTATACTTTTAGAACTTGTGTGTTAATTTTCTGACCATGGTAAACATTGGTGTAGTATCTAAAATGAAGAAGTGTCACTTTGCATCACTGCTTCCAGTCACCGTGCCATGATGCAACCGTTTACTATTATGACCTCACAGGTAGATTGTAGGAGCTTTGTGGCCTGGGATCTAAATCAGGCCTTTGGCTGCTCTCGTCTGTCTTCACTTATCCTTGTCCCTCTGGTACTTTTCTCTCTCCCTCTAAGCATTATTCTTTCATCAATATTCTTTTCCAAAGAGTCCCCACCAACCCACTCCCTGCTATTTTTCTAGACCCTTTTCTTCTAAAATCAACTTTATAGTGGTCTACATACCTTGGTATCTAAATATTATTGACAGAAGGTTTGGGTTTATATATACACCACAGGCTAAACTGATAAAGACAAAGCTACCCAATTGATTCCAGTGTAGAGTGGGGAAAGTCTGGAAACAATGAAATGTAGTGTGTTAATATGCACATTTCACTGATGCCACCAGTGGAATGTTCTGGCCTAACTAGGATAGAACATAGTAAGGACTAATATTCAGGGAGGCAAGAGCCATTGATTTAAGACCTTCCATGTATTAAAGAGAACCATCAACAAAAATATTTGTCTCTGAAATAATTTTCCTTATTTAAATTGTATTGTGAACAATTTTTCCTAAGATGTTGGATTTAAAGTTCCCTATGACACACAACTTTTTAGGCAGAGTATGCAATTTTAAACATTGCTCATCCTTTTTGCCTTCTTAAATTTTTACATATTGGCTAACCCTGGGCCAATTATTAAACCTGTGTAATCATCTGTTGAGATCGGAAAGAACCTTGAGCTTATTTTTTTTAATCTTTTCTGGACTGAGTTATGTTTCAAAGTATCAGCACGAAAGAAAACCATAGATGGCAAACGACTAAAACTCCTAAGTACGCTTGGCCTTAAACAACAAAAGTGTGGTTTTATTTTGATTGTTTTGCAGACTTTTTACTTTTGTAAAATCTAGAATAGCCAGCTTTATCAAGATCCACCTATTTTTCATTATTTCAAGTCTTTTATGACAGTTCATTGAATGCCTTATGTCTCCTTCAATTCTGGGTGAAGGAATACTGCCATATTTTGCAATGACTGAATTCTTTAACTCTGGGCAGTTTACATTTAAAGTAACTGAATTCAAATAATACTGAATATAAACTGTAATTGGAAAATAAAATTTAGTCCAGTGGGTGTGGCTCAGTGGTTGAGTGTCGACCTATGAACCAGGAGGTCATGGCTTGATTTCCGGTCATAGCACATGCCCAGGTTGCAGGTGCCATCCCAATGTCGGGTGTGCAGGAGGCAGCCGATCAATGATTCTCTTTCATCATTGATGTTTCTCTCTCTCTCTCCCCCTTTCCCTTCCTCTCTGAAATCAATAAAAATATATTAAATTAAAAAAAAACTTTAAAAATATATTTTAAAAAAGAAAATTTAAACTTTAAAAATGCAAAATAAAATAATTGCATTAGATTTTGACTTTGAAGTCTCCAGTCTTTAGTGTTTCTTCACGTTCTGTTTACTACTATGAAGTCATCCTGGCTATACCTATGTCATAGAGGTTTAATTCTGGATTCAGACTCTGGGTTCAAATGGTGACTTTTCCACTCACTACCATTCTGTGCCTGTTTCCTCGGGAGCTAAACTAGAGAAATTAAAAGTGTTTATAATAGGTTTGAAGTAAAGATCAGTGCCTTAGTACATGTAGGGTATGTAAAACAGTGTGGCTGACTAGATGGCCACTCATCTGAATTGGCTGATAGCTTTTCTAATTCAGGAATGCCAGATGAAAAGATTGATTTATACATGACAGGTGTCAGGGGAAATGCAGAGCCTACCTGGGGCCACACACTTGTCTCAGTCATTGGCATTTATACACCTAACACTGAAATAGGTTTCAGCCCCCCACATTCTGGCATATACATAGATGTATTTTAATTCATCCCCTCCCCCAACCATTTGAAACTTTGGCCTCACCTGATTTCTGAAAAATGTAATCAGGGACAGTCATCACTATAATCTCTTCTTTGCAAATGACCTTTTACCCAGCTTAATTAATAGCTTACCTTTTGGCAAGTGGTAACACATAGCAAATAAATCTGGTTTACTATTGTGTCTCTTGTGGGGGAAACTCAATAACCCTTTGTGTAGCTGTCAGCAATCCTTGCTTAGGGTGTGTTCCGTAACCTGGATCCTCCCATATTCATCTCACTTCCTGTCAGGCCACTAGCTCCTCATAACAAACCATGTCAGAGGAGATGTATTATTTGCCTTTGCTTCTAGTCAACAAAATAATTTAGATTATCTCTAGTGTATTTTTTTCCCTTAGGTACTTTTCCTTTCTATTGTTATGGCTAACTCAAAATAACACAAATTTCTAAATATTCTCAAAATAACTTTTTCCTTCGTGCTGTTACTACATCACTAAACTAACCCTGGTCCATGGGCACTGAGGCAACTGCATTTCTCTTCACTCTTAAAACTCTTAAAACTTTGTTTTTCAGCACAAACCAAATTTATCAGATATACTGGAAGTGGCTTTATTTAATATAAATGAAAGTTTCAGATCATCCAAGTTTTTTTATTATTATTATTACTTTGATGGTCTGAACCATTTAAATCCAATTTACTTGGTCTAAAGCAGTGGTTCTCAACCTTCCTAATGCTGTGACCCTTTAATACAGTTCCTCATGTGGTGACCTCCAATTTCATTGTTACAAATTGAACATAATTAAAGCATAGTGATTAATCACAAAAACAATATGTAATTATATGTGTTTTCCGATGGTCTTAGGTGACCCCTGTGAAAGGGTCGTTCGACCCCCAAAGGGGTCGCAACCCGCAGGTTGAGAACCGCTGGTCTAAAGGGAAATGGCCTCTAGAAGCAGTGTGTATAATATTCCAGACCCCCTAGTGTCTATTTTTCTTATTTTCAAAAAAATCACTTTGGAACTTGGCTTTTTCCTGTTCCCTCTGAACATGGTGTTTCTTTTTGTGGCAATGGCCTTCACCTCCTGCCACTGTAGCAGGGAAGTGCTTTCTTGGGGACCTGCCTTCCCAAAGGGGCCCCTTCATCCCTTCCTGTGGATGGCCCCCACACAGATCATGACACTTCCTGAGCATCCCTTCCTAACATCCCCTGTGGGTGTGCTCGCTCACTATATCACGCAGCCTTTCCCTTTCAGTGGTTGGGTGAGCAGCCAGTAACCAACTGAGCCACTTTTCCAACTAGGTCACAAATATGTGGCCAGGTAGGAAAGAGTCATCCTGAGCAAAATACAGGTCTACACCTGGTCTTGTTCTGATGGAAATGCCATTGAACCAGAGACTCTGACTGGACTGCTTTTGTTCACCTTCTACCCCATGTCTCTTCTTTTTCTGCACTCACATGTGTAGAAAAACATTCATTCTGATGAACTTGCCCAAGTGAATGAGCTACCATTCCTTAAGTGGTCAACAAGAGAACACAGACTTTGAATCTGGCCATCTCTAGCATGAATTGCCATTATTTCTCCTAATGCTCCAGCCGCTCCAGTTTCTCCTGGCCCTTCAGATCCAGTTGCCGTTGTTCCCTCTGGCTCTTCAGTTCCAGCTGCTGGCCCTTCCTCAGGTATTGGTGCACTGGCTGTTGCTCACTTCCCGGCCTTCCAACTCAGGCATACTGGGGGAAATTGACCACTGCCGCTGGACCTGGATCTGGCACTTCTTCTGATCATTCTCAGAAATTACCTCCACAAGGGGCTTAGACTTCCAGCTTGGGGTCTTCTCTTCGGCTTTGGGTCCTTTACTCTGCAAATCTAATTCTGCCATCTTAGCTTCTTTAATGAGTTCTAATTTTTGTGTGTTCTTAATTTAATTAATTTTGAGCATTTGTGAATTGCTTGGTAGTATACCAGCCACTGACATTTTCTTTTCTCTTTGGCAGTCTTACTAATTCATTGTATGTATTCTAATTGTCTTAAGCTCGTGGGCCATAAAAAATCACACAAAGGAAATATTTGGCCAGCCCTCTGTGATCATGGAATAATGGAACGAGAGGGATTTTAGAGAGCATCTAGTTCAACTAACTTATTTTATATTTAGGAAATCCAGGTCACATAGCTTCTTGGTGGCAAAGCCAGAAGACATAGAACTTTGATCTCCTGACTTCACACCCAGTGTTTTGACTCTTTGAAGGTGGGGGGGCAGGGAGTACATTCTGTGGATACTTCAAGCTTTCAAATGTAAAGTGCCCAGTTACTTAAGTGTTCCTTGTCAAGGAGCACCAGAGTCACAGAGCCACTGGGACTCAGGGAATTGCCTGATCATCATTACCTGTCTTAGTTTTGTTTTTTAATAAATGACTGAAACAAATCCAGTATGCTAAAGAACATGCCCTAGAGAAGAGGTCCTCAAGTTCTAGTGTAATACTGAAGAACATGGGATGTGGTTTTTTAAAAGTATATTTTTATTGATTTCAGAGAGGAAGGGAGAGGGAGAGAGAGATAGATACATCAATGATGAGAGAATTATTGATCGGCTGCCTCCTGTATGCCTCCTACTGGGGACCGAGCCTGAAACCGGGCTTGTGCCCAGATCGGGAATTGAACCAGAACCTCCTGGTTCATAAGTCGATGCTCAACCATTGAACCACACTGGCCGGGCGAACCTGGGATGTTTATAACAGAAGTAGAAACACTCAGGCCTTCCTTGCCTAGACCTGCAACCAGAATCCTGCAAGGTGGGGCCTCATATGTGTGATTTCCAAGTTTTCCAGGTGGTTCTGGTGTGCTTTCTGAGTAAGAGCAACTGCTGTGGAGTCTAGCAGTGTTTCTTAAAAGAAGTGTATTTCTGTGCCCTCTTCCCAGACCTATTATCCTAGAATTTCTGGGTATTGGGGTCATCTTTAAGCTCCCTAGTGATTGTTATATCCATTAAAATATAGAAGAATGCTGATCTAGAAGTCTTTGAATCATTCAACAAAAGGCCCAGAGCAATGGCTTTCATTACTCTTGTTCATTTCCCTTGGCAAGAAATATATTTTGCATCATGATTCAGCAAACCCACAGAACTAAAACAAAAGTTTCACAAGTCAATACTTATCCTACCAAGTTCAGTGAGCTCTGATATTTTCAACTCTAATCCATCCTATTTCATTATTTAAAGTAGGTCATCCAAACTCATTAAATTGCTTTTAAACCCCTAACCCACTATAGTTTAAAAAACTGAGGGTCAAGGTATTAATTCTAACTCACAGATTTAATACTTTTCCCTCAAATTGCTCTACTTTTCCCAATTACTCCTGTTGAGCCATTAATACCTGCTTGCCCCATGAGGAAAATCCACTTTTGTCACAGTCATACAATACTTCCACTGTGTAAAAAGTGGACTGCCCTTGTTCCCTGGACATGGGACATCTTGCCAACTCCATGCTGCTGCTGCTGCTAATGGCTATATTAATCACAGTGCAAGTAATAGAAAACTCAGCCACACTAAAAGAAAAAAAAAAAACTTAAGTAATTATTTTGCTCAGGGAACCAGCAATCCAAGGGTAGCTTACTTAGTTCAGGTGCTCATTTATTCCAGACTCAGTCACCTGGATCCCCACAAGTCTCTTCCTGGGATGGCTCCAGATGTGGCCGATTAAATTCTCTCTTCATGTGGGCAGCCAGCCCCAGCCACACACTGCCAATCTGAGCTCAGAAGAGGGACTCCTGCATACTGAGCACAAATCTCAGTTGGGCTGATTAGACCACTTGCTCTCTCCTGAACCAACCACTGGGGTCAGGACAGGATACTGGAGCTGGAGGTGGGGTAGAATCTCAGGCAAACCACATGGCTGAGGATGAGAGAAGGGTGATTGCCTAAAGAGAATTGGAGATACTTCTCCCAGAAGCAAGATGAATGGACGCTGGGCAGCAAATGCAGATGTCATCTGTAGGCCGTGCATGTCCATGGTTTCCTGTTTGCCTCCCGTTTCCTTGATTGTGATGAGCCTTTTCTTGATGTGTTTCATACCTGTGGAAACCAGTAGAGTGTCCTGAAGTTCCTGGTTTAAATCTCACGTACAGTAGCCACTGTCAAAATCTAGCACAGATGGCACTCAAGGGAAATGACAGTTTAAGTCATTAGAAATAATTGATTAAAATTCATTACCGGAATTTCACTGGTATTTAAATGAAGAGAAGGAAGGAGTATAGTCACAGGTGACCCAAACTAGACAATAACTGTCAGAATTTGAAGGTGTAGTGGACCAGCCTGTATAATCTTCCCTTGTGTCCTTTAAATAGACTATGGGAGTAATCTGAGCACAATCAGTACCTAAAAATACCTAGTAACCACTAACACATTAAAAGTTAAGTACAAAACTTAAATCCCTCAAATCTCAGCTGATCCTACTGGTTACCTTTCACAATTGCTGTATGTACCATTTAATGCTTTCTCTTTCTCAAGCCTTTTGTCATGAAGCAGAACAGAAATGCTTTCTAATAGGGGATCAGAAAGTGAACAATAGTTATTTAGTTAAAAATAATGTTGTTCTGTTAAAATGGAGATTTTTTTTTTTTACAATCCAGCATGGACAAAGAATGGTGAAATAATTATCTTAATGATTCCAGGTTCTTGTCTACTTTGAAAGAATTTAATGTAAATAAGAATTTCATACATAAGAGAATGAATCTTATTTTTCCCTCGATAATAGTATCAGGTTCTCTACTTTGTAACAAATTGTTCTGAAGTTTTCAAACATATGTGCTTTATACACGGTATGGTGATCCTGGGCCGTGCATTCTGCCTTGGCAGCTAGCCTGCTTAGCATTTAGATGTTCTCTGCACTCATGTATGCTTAGAAAATCCATATCCAAAACATTTTTGGTTTTTTATTCTATAAAATGGATACAAAATAAGCAAAGAGCACCCTAAGGTTTGTATTTTTCTCCTAACTGGGTTTGTGATTTTGCATAATTAAATTCTCCCTCTTAAATTTATCCTCTAACAATATGCCCATTCATTTCTAATTTTCTAATTTCTGTCTTTTGAAAGCTATAGCATTTTAATTGCTTATGGAAACTAATCAGTCTCCTATCCTTGACAGTGATTAAGAACTGATTTGTTTTTAATGAAGTTTTTCATGTATATTAATTTTTTTATCTATAGTGTGGCTTGATCTAAGAACCCAGTCTACCGTTGAGAATCTTAGTAAAAGAATTCCAGGAAATAACTTTCTCAAGGTAAGAGATCTCTTCAAAAGTATACTATAAGAATGCTCATTTAAAAATGAGAGATTTCACCAGAAGGACTATTTGGGCCTTACATCTGACTGCACCATAGTTATTTGACACAATTTATAGAGTATTGCTCTGCTGATAAATGAGGACAAAACAAGTCATTTCTGTCTTCCTTGCCCTGTGATTGATTGGAGCAATGATATTCCAAGATTGGTTGGCTGGAGGGGATTATAAAGTACCCCTGTGGTTTAAGCCATATTACCCAGGGGGTGCTTCCTGTCATTGAACCCTGCCTTTCAAATCCATCCCTCTTGTTTTCTACTATCCATCAAAGAAAATTCTGGGCGCTTTTGAGTGTTTAGGCATCTGGATTCAGAGAGAAAAAGTAGAAGACCATTTTATTGACCTCTTTTTTTATTGATTTTAGAGAGAGAAATTGATTTTAAGGGAGGGAGAGGAGAGAGAGAGAGAGAGAGAGAGAGAGAGAGAGAGAGAGAGAGAGAGAGAGAAACATCTATGTGAGAAAGAAACATTGATGTCCTCCTGTACATGCCCCAACCGGTAATCAAACCCGGCACCTTTTGGTGTACTGGACAAAGCTCCAACCAACTGAACCACACTGGCCAGGGCCATTTTATTGACCTTTTTTTTTAAGCTAAATATTTTTTAATTGATTTTTAGAGAGAGAGGAAGGGAGAGGAATAGAGCAATAGAAACATCGATAGGCTGCCTCCTGCATACCCCTTATTGGGGATTAAGCTCAAAACCCAGACATGTGCCCTGGCAGGAAATCAAACTGGTGACCTCTTGGTTCATGGGTCGTATCTCAATCACTGAGCCACACCAGCTGGGCTATTGACCCCTTTATTGAACACTTCCACTCTCTTCATATGAATATGGCTAATAAAAAATTGCCTAGTTTCCAGTCCTTATGTTGATCTCTCTTCAGGTAACTGAAGGGAGAGAGAATTTTTGAAACAGGCAATTTGTTAGCAAGGTCAAGATCAAATTCCCCTAGTATTCAAAAGGAAGGCAGCTATGCTCACCACTATACCACCAACGCCGCACTCCCCTAGTATTCAAAAGGAAGTTCTGTTTTTTATTTATCCCCTTTATATTTTTCCTTATGACAACTTCCTGTGGTTCTTGGTTTTGAAACTGATGTTCGAATCCTATTAATTACAGGATGCATGGATCCGACTGACAGCTCTCAGGGGGTGGGGGGAACCGGATTAAAGAAGATGAAGGGATTAGAGAAAGAACATATGCATAGCCCATAGACACAGATCACAGTGTGGTAATGGCCAGAGGGAAAGGCGGGTGAGGGAAAGATGGGTGGAGGTGGGCAAAGAGAGGGGAAATGGGGATATCTGTAATAGTGTCAACAATAAAAATAAAAGTTTTTAAAAATTCTATTAATTACAGCAGTTTAACAAACCATTCTCTGCCCACCACCCAAATAACTTCTGGCTACTCCTGAATATACCCTTACCATTTTCTATTTTGTTCTCTTTCTCACCCTGTCCAATCTTCACCCTTATATCCAGCTACATTTTGCTCCCAGGGATGCATGTTTTTCTCTCTAATGCTATTTTAGGCAGTTTTTACACTTTCTACCTATGTAATGAAAATGAGATAATGCATAGTACCTGCACACCCCTTATTGGTTTTAGTTTTGTGGGAGAATAATCCCATAAATTATTTCTTTTCATAATGTTTGACCATTTATCTATTTTTTTCTAAGGAAGCTAGAAGCCCTAAGTTAAGATTCTTAACTTACAGGTTGCATTAAAGTATTAAATCCTTTGATTTGAATTTCCTTACCAAACATACCCATAGGAGATAAGAAGGAAAAAATATCACTTTTTGTAGTTGGGTGATGAATGAGGAGACCTGGATGGGGAGGGAAAAGATAGTTGGCATTATTTTGATGTGTGTATTTTCTTAACCACTAATAAAAATGTTGGTATTTAATATGCAAACAAAAATAAGAGTTGGACATGATCCATTCTCAAGATTAAGCCATATGTGTTTTATTATTACACTTTAACCTTTATTGGAGTCACCCTCCCTTTGTTTAATTTATTCGCTAATCTAGGCAACTACTTCCTAACATAGAGCAGCTCTGTTTTGCTTTAATCTGTGTGTCTTTGAGCTCTACTTTATTCTCCACTAATTTTATACTCTATTATTTGAATATGAATGTGTGTAAATATATATTTATAATATACAAATATACACATAAGCATAATATGAAGTCCTGTGTTTTAGAACAAATTTTTCTGGTTTTGGTCATTAGTTTATAATTTGATATACAGTACCCTATGATATACAGTACCCTATGATTACCGATAGATTAAAGATCACTTTCAAGGAATATAAAATAAAAAGCAGAGCTTTGGACTAGGTTAATACTAAGTCATCACAAAAGTCTAGATTACAGGGTGTCGTATTATTTCATTTTTTCTTTACCTTGCTACGTGGATGCTCTTTGAACTGCAAACGTATCACTCTGATCTTTGTTCATGAGTATGCTTTCCTGTGCCATAACACCATGCATGGAGTTGCCTATTTAGGGCAACTGAATATTTTGTGATTTGTGGGGGTTTTGGGTTTGGTGTTTTGTTTTATTTTATTTTAAACTGTTATGAATTTAATTTGCAATTCTTTTAGTCCAAGACAGGCCTTCCACTTAGCACTTACTTCAGTGCTGTGAAAGTTCGTTGGCTTCTCGACAATGTGAAAGAAGTTCAAAGGGCTGTTGAAGAAGATAGAGCTCTTTTTGGGACTATTGATTCATGGCTCATTTGGGTATGTTTAAATAGATGCATGTATGGAAAAAATTTTAAAGACCTTTTTTTTTAAACTTCCTTGCCTACTATCTGTTTTCTCCTAAGAGTTCAAACTTTTCTGTTGTCAGCATTATTCAGAAAAGTCACTGAAGAAATAGCAGAACATTTCAGCCTTCATTCAAGAGGCATTTTTGCCTACTTCATCTCTCCCCCCCCTCTTGCGTTATATCAGTAAAAATGGAGGATGATTACCCAAACATCTCATCTGTTATCTTTAGAATAAGTAATTTAGGTAATTAGTAATCAGTAATTTAGGTATCCTTTTTCTCTTGTCTATCATAAAGTTTTCCACTAGGCACTTCTTAGAAGAAATAATTATTTAACATAATAAAATGCCTATGTCTGGGATTTGTCCAGGCCCTGGTCAGGGCTTCTGCAGGAGGCAACCCATCAGTGTGATTCTCTCACATCAATGTTTCTCTCTGTCTTTTATCATTTGCTTTCAATGTTACACAGCTGTCTGTCTTTTATTTAAGTAAGTGGTAATATGAAAAATCATAGTGGAAATTTCTGATATATAATCTTTTTGCCTAAGCTGAACATGGATAAATAGAAGCTAACATTTCAAACATTTTCCAGATATATCTTTAAAGTACATGATCTCTCTCTCTCGTTCTCTCTCATTTTTATTATTATAAGTATTTTCAAATATACCATAAAGTAGAAGGAATAGTATAACAAACCTCTACAACAGTGAGCCAGCTATGGCCAGTCTTGTTTCAACTATATTCACATATTCTTTCCCCCACAGGTAAGTGTAAAATAATTGTAAAGCAAATCCCAGACATACAATTTTATTTGTAAATACTTCAGTATTCTCTAGCCAGTTTGCTCAGTGTATAGAACATTGGCCTGGGGACTGAAGGGTCCCGGGTTCGATTCCAGTCAAGGGCACATACCTTGGTTGCAAGCTCTTCTGCAGGAGGCAACCCATCAATGTGATTCTCTCACATCAATGTTTCTCTCTGTCTTTCCCCTCTCTCTTCCACTCTCCCTAAAAATCAATGGAAAAATATCCCCGGGTAAGGATTAACACAAAAAAAAATAAATAAAAATTCAGTATTTTTTTAATCCTCCTGAAGATATTTTTCGTCCATTGACTTTAGACAGACTGGGAGGGAGGGGGAGAGACAGAGAGAGAGAAAAACATCCCCCACACGCCCCCCAATTGGGGCCAGGGATCGAACCTGCCACCAAGCTACGTTCCCTTGGCTAGAATTGAAACCCAGACCCTTGAGTCCAAGGGCTGATGCTCCAACTACTGAGCCAAACCAGCTAGGGCCACTTCAGTATTTTTCTTTTTTTTTAAAATATATTTTATTGATTTTTTACAGAGAGGAAGGAAGAGAGATAGTTAGAAACATCGATGAGAGAGAAACATCGATCAGCTGCCTCCTGCACATCTACTGGGGATATGCCCGCAACCCAGGCACATGCCCCTGACCGGAATCGAACCTGGGACCTTTCAGTCCACAGGCCAACGCTCTATCCACTGAGCAAACCGGTTTTGGCCACTTCAGTATTTTTCAATGTTCAGGGAGCTTCAAGGGAATATTGTCCTTATTCATACTAGCCAGATCCTCACAGCTGGTCTTGAAAACCACTACACTGTTCGAAAGATCACTTCACACACACACACACACACACACACACACACACACATACACACACACACCCTGTGTTAGCAGGATATGCTTTGTGCTCATGGCCAGCAGTTTTCACATGTGTCAGTCACAGTTGAAATAGTTCTGACAGTTTGACAATGGCCTGGAAGCAGAGTAAGGCACAATTTGGGAACTGGGAACTGCAGGGCACTTAAGGAAGCATATCCCCCACCGTGATGTCTTTCTCCACTTTTATTCTTTTCTTTCTCTTTTTATTTATTTATTTTTTTTGGGGGGGGCGGTTAATCCTCACTCGACATTTTTCCATTACTTTTTAGAGAGAGTGGAAAGGAGGGGGAGAGACACATCAGTTGGTTGCTTCCTGCATGTGCCCCCACCAGGGCCAGAGATCAAGCCTGCAACCACAATCAAACCAGAGACACTTCAGTCCGGGGGCTGACACTCTAACCACTGAGCCAGCCAAACTGGCTAGAGCCTATTATTCCTTTTTTTAAAATATATCTTTATTGATTTGGGAGAGGGAGAGAGAAAAGCATCAATGATGAGAGAGAACCATTAATTGACTGCCTCCTGCACGCCCCCACTGGGGATCAAGCCCCCAACCTGGGCATGTTCCCATGACCGGACTCTAACCCGGGACCCTTCAGTCCACAGGCTGATGCTCTATTCACTGAGCCAAACAAGCTAGGGCTATTATTCCTTTCTTACCTCATTGCTTCCACATAAAATAAAGCATCTATATAATAAAGAGCCAGGGTCCTAACGACTGCTGGCTCAACCAGACTGGAAGTCAGTGTTGGGTTGCCATGGCAACCCAGCACCAACTGGGGCTGCTGCGAGTGCCTGGACCCAGCACTGACTGCCTAGGGGGCTGCAGATCATGCCCAGAGTGGGGCCTGCAGAGAAAAGGGCAGGGTCTGATCTGAAGCCTCTGTGGCAGCCATTGATCAGAACTTGCCTCTTTCTCTCCCGTCCTGACAAACAGCCATACCTCCATTTCTCTCCAGGGCTCCAACCAGGCTGCTGATCAGCCCTGCCTTTCTGATCAGGCCCCAAGTTGATAGGCCCAGAGATGCTGACTGGCATAGAAACTGACCAATCAGAACCAAATTGGCCGGTAAAGGAGGGCAGTTGGGGGTGAGATCAGGCCTGCAGGGGAGGGCCATTGGGAGCAAGATCAGGCTGGCAGGGGAGGGCAGTTAGGGGCGAGATCAGGCCAGCAGGGTAGGGCAGTTGGTGGCGAGATCAGGCAGGCAGAGGCAGTTGAGGGTGAGAGGCCAGCAGGGGAGAGCAGTTAGGAGTGATCAGGCAGGCAGGCAGAGGCAGTTAGGGGCAATCAGGCAGGCAGGCAGAGGGGTTAGGGCAGGGGTGGGCAAAGTTTTTGACTCGAGGGCCACAATGGGTTCTTAAACTGAACCGGAGGGCCGGAACAAAAGCATGGATGGAGCGTTTGTGTGAACTAATATAAATTCAAAGTAAACATCATTACATAAAAGGATACGGTCTTTTTTTTTTTTTTAGTTTTATTCATTTCAAATGGGCCGGATCCGGCCCGCGGGCCATAGCTTGCCCACGGCTGGGTTAGGAGCAATCAAGCAGGCAGGCAGAGGGGTTAGGGGCAATCAGGCAGGCAGGCAGGTGAATGGTTAAGAGCCAGCGGTCCCAGATTGTGAGAGGGGTGTCTGACTGCCAGTTTAAGCCCGATCCCCTGAGGGGTCCCCAATTGGAGTGGGTGCAGAATGGGCTGAAGGAATCCACCCCACCCCACCCCCTGTGCACGAATTATGTGCACTGGGCCTCTAGTCAATAATAATAATAATAATTGTAATAATAATAATGATAAACATTTACAATCATTTTTAAAAACTAAGAAAAATAACAAAGCATCAGTGCTTTCCATTCCAGGCCAAGGGTATTAACATTTGAGTTTAAAACCTTTAAGATATGTGGTTGTATCAGCACAAGCACAGCCTGATGAGAATTGTTCCAAAAAGAATAGCAGCAGCACAGGGTTTAGTCAGATCCTGAAGAGGCAGACATTTCAATGTATTTCACTTTGCCAGATTTAGTAAGACACTGCATTTTCCAAAGATAAATGGGTGAAGACAAAACTGACTTTTTTTTATCGATTAACTAGTACTGTGCTAATATGGTAGCCACTTGCCCTGAAATGTGGCTAGTCTGAATTGAGATGTGCTGTGAGTGTAAAATACACATTGGATTTCAAAGAGTTAGTATCCAAAAAAGGGTAAAATATGCCCAGCTGGTGTGGTTCAGTGATTGAGCATCTGCCTATGAACCAAGAGGTCCCAGTTCAATTCCGGATCTGGGCACATGCCTGGGTTTTGAGCTTGATTCTGTAAGGAGGCAGCCAATCAATGATTCTCTCTCATTATTGATGTTTTTCTCTCCCTTTCTCTTCCTCTATGATGAAATCAATAAAAATATATTTAAAAAATAAAAAATCTATAATAATAAAAGCATAATATGCTAATTAGACTGGACGACCTTCCGGATGAAGCTGGGGCTGCGAGGGAAGCCCGAGCCCCAAGTGCCTGCTGGTGGCTGGAGGGAAGTTGGGGCCGGCAGCAAGGAGGAAGGAAGGCCTCCTTTTGCACAAATTTCGTGCATTGGGCCTCTAGTAAAATAAATAAAAATTTAAAAAGGGGCCCTAACTGGTTTGGCTCAGTAGATAGAGCATCGGCCTACAGACTCAAGGGTCCCAGGTTCAATTCCAGTCAAGGGCATGTACTTTGGTTGCGGACACAGCCCTGGTGGGGAGTGTGCAGGAGGCAGCTGATCGATGTTTTTCTCTCATTGATGTTTCTAATTCTCCCCCTCCCTTCCTCTCTGTAAAAAATCAATAAAATATATTTTTAAAAAAGGGGGGTAAAATGTCTCAGTAATAATTTTTTTATGTTGAAAGGATATTTGGATATATTGGGTTAAAAATATGTAGTATTAAAATTAATTTCACCTGTTTCTTTATGCTTTTTAAGTGTAGCTGCTAGAATAATTTAAATTACAAATGTAGTTCACATTATATTTCTATTGGACATTGCTGAAAACTAGAAAATTAAGGAGTTAAAATGTGTCATTCTGCTTTATATGCTCTGCTGCTGATTATGGCCCTTAACAAAATGTAAATTAAATTGCAGATAAGTACAAATTTAACATGTCCTTTTTATTCTGTCTAGTGTCTGACAGGAGGAACCAATGGAGGCGTCCACTGTACAGATGTAACAAATGCAAGTAGGACAATGCTTTTCAACATTCATTCTTTGGAATGGGATAAAGAGCTCTGCGAGTGAGTGTTTTCCCCTAAGATAGTTTTCCAAACATGTTACATATTTATAAACTTATTATTTTCCGACTCAACTTTCAATGTTGGTATTTCAAGTACAACATGTAACATAGACTTGCTGTGTAGTCTTTTAAGAGAGACTATTGTTGCATGTACAATAAACATGCCATATTAAGTAATTGCCTTGATTATTCTCCAAGGAAGATTGGGTTCTTTTAGAAAAGTACTTCAGTTTCTGTGTGCTTTTTATTTTTTATTAATTGGCTTGGATAAAATAGAATGTTAAATATCTAATCATGCATCTATGTTCTGCTGGTTTATTTGTTACTATTTCATTTTATACTCAAATACATTCACTAATTTTTACTTACATTTTTACCTTTAAATGCATATAAATGTTTCCAGATATTTATTTAAAACAGTATTAAATACCCAGTCTTATCTTATTGTTGTTGTTTTTTTCTTTCAGATTTTTTGAAATTCCAATGAAAATTCTTCCAAATGTCCGGAGTTCTTCTGAAATCTATGGCTTAATGGTAAATATAAATTTCCATTTTCAAAACTGTACTATTCAGAATTTAAAAGTCAATTGTGTAACATTTGATAGTTTGAGGGTTGTGACTTCTCTCTGAACGTGGGTAGTATGTACCTTAAAATTTTAGTATTTAAATGGTTTTATAACTGAAAATCATCAATTCCTTACCAATTCATTTTATATTTTATAAACTTGTATTGGCTTTTCTTTGAGTATTATACTTTTGAAGTATTACTGGGATCTTCTAACTACAGAGGGTGGCATGGAAATATTTGATCTATTTTATTCTTTTAATCCAAATAACTGTTTAGTAGTTGTGGTGTCTGCTTTTAATTTATAGGAAGGTCTCTTCACATTTTAGTGGTGGTCTTTTTTTCTCTTGAATCTCTTCTTTTTCAATTTATTTTTTATTTAAATATAGTAGGTATACAATCTCTTTTAATGGCCAAACCATGTTTTAGATTACATTCTTTGTCAGCCTAAGCAAAACTTTAGCAAAGAAACTGAAAGCAAAAAGAGTCTGTTTCTGATATGTGATGGCTAATTAAACTGTGTTCCATAATGGACATTTTTCCTTTTGCTTTCATTGAAACTCAGAGAAAAAGTAGTTTCAGCAAAAAAAATGCGCTTAGCATCATTGAGTATCTCTGATTACACATCAGGGATGAAAAGCTCTAGGAGGATTCGAACTGATGTTTGAACACAGAAATCTGGAATTTATGCTAAAAATTAAGCATACATCTAAGAAAAATTGCAAAAAATAGACATGACAAATATTAGAAACTTTTTTTTTGTAGTTTTAATAATAATTGAGTTGAATAAGTGCTCTGGATAAAGCTTGAGCAAGAATTCTTAAATGTTTCATTCATAAAAAGCCTTTTACAGCAATATGCGGTTTTTTAAATATAAATTTTATTGATTTCAGAGAGGGAGAGAGCGATAGAAACATCAATGATGAGAGAATCATTGATCAGCTGCCTCCTGCATGCCCCACACTGGGGATCGAGCCGCAACCCGGGCATTGTGCCCTGACCAAGAATTGAACTGGTGACCTCCTGATTCAAAGGTCGATGCTCAACCACTGAGCCATGCAGGTTGGGCCAACGTGCATTTTTGAAAGGATTAGTCACTGCTTGTCTATAGTAAAAATGCTTTGATGCTTTTATAGCTGTCTACAAAGTGACTTGAGTCAGTGGGGAAAAAATTATTCTTGAGAAACCGTTGCAGAGGAAGGTTGGAAAAAACAAACAAACGTTTAACTGGCCTAGTTTTCTCTTGCATTTAAAATATTATGCTTCTGTCCCCCTTTTTCCCCCTTTGCTGACTATAGAAAATCTCTCATAGCCTGGTGAGTAGGTTTCCCACCAATTATTCTACCCATTCATTCGGAAAAGATACAGTGCACTTCCATTTAGTTTTAAACAAACGGAAGTCCATTTACTAAACAGAGATATCTAGGATCATGACTTCAAATTATTATAAGCTCTAGTCAAGCTTTAGATTTTTAAAAAATTTTTAATCTTATTTGTTTGTTTTTAAGTTTTCCATAAGACTGGAAGTAATGTTTCAAAATAAAAGACATGGGTAGTTTCCTGACATAAGAAATTCTGATGGCCTCCATTACAAAGTACAGTTGTGATGTGCTTTGGCTTTAGCATAATAGGTAAATTAGATGTGGCTTTTAAATGTCCTAAACATCTACCTTGTCCAACCTTTCAGACCAGTTAGTTGGAAATGCACTGTCGCTTTTTCTGCATGCTTCACCAGAGGATGTTCCCAGAAATCTTCCAGAAACACCTCCCTGCGAAGAAAATGGAACTCTTTCTCTGCCTGACCTCACATAGTAGATCCTGCTGGTAGTTTGATAATAATATAAGCAATAGTATAAGCAAAAGCTTCTTTTACTATTTAAATATATTAAGATATACAGCCTCTAGGTTTCCTACTGGTTCACTTTTAGCCTTTTATGAAATTTACTCTTCACTTAATATCCAGCTTCAATAAATAAAAAATAGCAGGTCTTGAATTAATAGGAAAGCATGGCAGAACTAGAATATCCACTCTCTGAGGATGTTTTCTAGTCTGTAAACCAAGCATGTCAAACTCAAAGGCTAACACGGGCCAGATAAACAAGGTTTAAGTTTATGTGGGCCGCAAAAAAAACAACAAAAGCTTCAATTTTCATAGAAACGTAGGTTTATTTCAATAGAGACATGCTGAATACAAAGAGCTGAAATAAATGAGTCATTGTTAACATAAACTAATGGAACATTTTAATAATTTTTTTTCTTGAACATTAATTTACCAGACACTGAATAACTGCTCAAGTTAATAAGTGTGATGCAAATAAACCTATTTTTCTTCTCCGAAAGCAAAGTGTTTCCTGTTGTGCACACCAAACAAGTTAGTACTAGACTAATGATGTGGCAACTGCCTGCTAAAATATTCGCTGTTAGTATTAGTGGAGAGAAATGGTGCGCCTGCGTGTAAGGCGCGTAAGGGAAATGAATGCAACAGGATTACAGTAATCAATCATTCATTGTAGTTCGTTATTAATAATTATGTATAATAGGATATTGTAGAAATTAAGTTATGAAATTTTTATTAAAACGTTTCTTACATACTGTTATATTGGCTGGGCCACAAAAATATTCATTGTGGGCCGCATGTGGCCTGTAGGCCACGAGATTGACATGCTTATAGAGGGTTTCCACATATTATGCTATTTCCTTATCATCAGAGCCACATGAGGTGGCTTCTGTTCATACCCTCACTCTAGCAGATAGGGGGCCCAAGGTTCCCCAGAGGCCAGGAATCTGGCCCACAAATGGTAGACTAAGGGGTGAGTCCAAGCTTTTGTTTGGTACACTTCCTACTATATCACACCTACCTCAGGGAACACATTCCTTTCCTTAATACTAGTACAGATTGCTTTGTGTTAGTGCATCAGCCATTTAAATCTTGTTTTTATTCCTGGAATGCTGGCTATGCTTGATCAAAATAAAAACCACTGCTCAAGATATAAATTATCTCTTGCTTATCTAAACTTAAGGAATGATGTTGGCTATGAACAAGTAGTACCCAATACCTGAACACTGTTGGTAAAATGCAGCCTTCCAAAATAAATAAGTTCTGTGCTGGTTTCATAGCTATTAATATCTTCATTTAAAAGAATGCGTTAGTCTTTTGTTAGTAATGGCGATAATAGCAAAGAGCTAATGATTTTCAGTGTTCATGTAGCCCAGGCCCTATTTTGTAGATAAATAAATCGAGGCACAGAGAAGTTTCAGCGGCCTGCTCAATGGCTTAATACTAACTAGCCAGGAGTAGAGCCCACGTCTCCTGAGTCTCAGTCCAGTGCTTCATGTCCATTCTCCAATGCCGTGTCTCTTCTTGTCATTTTAGGACTATGTCTCATGTCTATCTCTGAACCACTCATGTAGTTGAAACACTTGCTTTGTCTTGTCTGCCCCACATGCTCTGGCATGTCACTGTTCATGTTCATTCCCATTGCAGTTATGTTAGTAGAGCCAACAGTTTGTGATTTACTCATAATTCGTTTTTAAATTTTTAATAGAAAGCTGGGGCCTTGGAAGGTGTGCCAATATCTGGGGTAAGTTTCACTGCCTAACATCTTCCTGCTGCCTCCCCACCCTCACCCCTTCCTTCTTAAGGCTTTCCTGTAATATCTTAATCTATCTGCCCCTTCCTAAACTGTGAGAATGAAGTAAGAGCAGCAAAATCAACTAATTCTTGTTCTCATGTGGGTCAAGAATCTTTTGAATAAATTAATTTTTACGGTCCCTTCCCATACCTATTGTCTCGTAGGAGTATTAACACATGAGAAAATGGCCAACTGAAGGCAATGCAAAAGCATAAATCAGTTCATTCCTTGATAAATAAAAAAAGAAAGATAAATTCTGTGGCTCTTATAAAAAGGAAATTAATGATATTGTCTTAGTGTCCTTTATTGTCATTTACACTTTCAGTGTTTGGGGGACCAGTCTGCTGCATTGGTGGGACAAATGTGTTTCCGAGATGGCCAAGCCAAAAATACGTGAGTAAGAAACAGACCTGGGAACCAATGGTGTTTTGTTTTTCCCTTTGGTGCTTTGAATGAGGAAAAGCTTTTGATGTTTATCCAAGCTGAAAACTAATAGCTTAAGAATTCCAATAGGAATATGTAAATTTTTGCCATTTGTTGTTTTTTTTTTTTTTTAATCCTCACCCGAGGATATTTTTCCATCGATTTTCAGAGAGAGTAGAAGAGAGGGAAAGACAGAGAGAAATATCGATGTGAGAGAAACACATCGATTGGTTACAACCAAGATACTTGCCCTGAGCCGGAATCGAAGCCAGGACCCTTCAGTCTGCAGGTCGACACTCTATCCACTGAGGGCCATTTGTTTTTCTTTACCTCCTTCAAATAAAATATACTACGCCTTATGTAAACACATAGGTGAGGCTTGTGAAGACCTTAATTTATAACATTCAATTTCATTTCCAATCCAGAAACTAAATTTTGGTTTACAGTGTCCATGCCTCTTTTGGAGAGGTTGGCAGGGAGGTCTGAGCAGAGGCGAGGAAGAGCCATGTTTTAAACTACAATTTTCAACATTGTTCCTGCCCTAGACTTTCTCACTATAACCAGAAAGTCACATTTTTGTGGAACTTTCAATGCTATTCTCCTGGCACTGCGTTCTCTCCATTATCTGGAGTTTCCCCTTTGACAAGAGGCAGAAGGAACAATAGAAGTAGAGATTTGGTGCATTTTTCTCCTGATGTCATCTCCTTACTACTCACACACATAGATTCCAACAAGCCTCATATCTAAGAGTAATAAGATTACTCCCACTTTAGGATGAGGAAACAGATGTTCCGAGAGGTTAAGCTAGTTAGTGACAGAAGCGATCATTGCGCCCAGATGCATCTGATTTGACTTTGCCAGGCTCTTAACTCTCTACAGTTTATTGTCCCCGGCGTCATAAAGATTTCCATAGGTCTGGCCAGAGACTATCTACGTTTAATTGTTCTTTTCTTGAGAATTTCCTAAATCTCGCGGCAATGTTTAACTTTAGTGATTAAGTTCGTCTTTTGTGACTACTGGAATGTTTAACATTTTAGATGACATGTTCTTGTTGTCTAGCGTGTCAGCAGTCCTCATGCAAGAGTGAGAGGTTTTTGGGGGGTGGGGAGGGGAAATAATGAAAATTCTTTGCAGGTCATGATATCCTGGGCTTGATCAGCATGGGTCTGGAAACATATTCTTTGAATTCTGGGTTTCAGGCAGCTGAATCAGGAGTCAAGAAAAATGATAGAAACCTGGGCTCTTCTCCCCACCCCACCCCCCACACACACACCCCTTCTTTCCTCTGTGACAGGAACACTAATGCTAGTAAATCAGATGCTATCTCCCTTTGTCAAGTACTTAACATAATACCCAATAAAATTGCTTGGTTTTCTTCTTCCTGTTCCCCTCCCCCTTAAACATTATCAGACAAGCCCTGAAAATGATAAGTTTAACTAAGAACGGACTAGTTGAGTACCTCTGCAGCCACTGCAGTTTGGAAAAGGGAAATAGCAAATTAGAATATCTTTGGGCACATATTTCTCTTCCTGGGGGCAGGGGAAGAACACAAATATACAGTTAATCATATTATAAATGAGAACTTCAGTGCATAAGAAACTTTGAAGTATGGTTGTTGCGTTCCAAAGGGAGGGGAGAAAACTCACAAAAGATTATGTTATCAATAAGATGTTTTTATTTTTTATTTGTTTTTGATGGGACCATCTATCTTTTTAAAAATCTTTATTGTTCAAAGTATTACAATGTCCCCATTTCCCCCCCATTGACCCTTTCTAGCCCCACCCCAGGCTTTCACTCTATTGTCTGTGTCCATGGTTATGCATATAAGCATACAAGTTCTTTGGTTTATCTCTTCCCACCCCACCCCACCCCTGCCTTCCCTCTAAGATTCCACTCTGTTCCATCTTCTACATCTCTGGATCTATCAATAAGATGTTTTGAGGAATGGGCGATATTGGCAGGTGCATGGAACACTGAACAAAATACAAAATGGGGAAATGGAAGACTTTATTTAGAGACTACAGAACATGCAGGTTGGGAAGTAGTAGAAAATAAGGCCAGGATCATGTTGTGAAGCCCTACATTCCAGACTGAGGAGTTTTTTTTGTTTTTTTTTTTCTTCCCTATTTTTAAACAAGAGAACACATCCATTTTACTTATTTACTTTTCAGTAAGTTGAAATCCTTGAGGGGGACAGCATCACACGGATTCTGTGTTCAGTGGCCTTAGCAGGAAGGTTGCTTCAGAATTTGGCATGAACCATGCCTCTGTTTCCATGAGCACAAATTACCTTTCCCCTGATGACTCTGGTTTGGTTCACTTTGCCACCAGTAGTCACTGTGTTGCTCTTTGCTTAGTACACATAAGCACTTCTCTTGCCCAGATAGAATTCTGTTTCATCTCAAGTATAAACACCATCCATTTTAAGAAGATCTGTGTGCTCCCTCTGGTTCCGGAGACTCCGTTATAGCCAGAAAAAAATGGCCTTGGACCATAGCCTTCCACACATATTTGTCCTTATAGAAGTCCTGTTCCCAGCAGCCTCCACTGGCTCCAAGATGGTGGAAAGAGCCTGAGGACATTTTTCTTGATAGGCAATGGGGCATTTCTTTTTTTAATAAATATATTTTTATTGATTTCAAAGAGGAAGGGAAAAGGAGATATAGAAGCATCAATGATGAGAGAGAATTATTGATGGTCTGCTTCCTGCATGCCCCACACAGAATCAAGCCCGCAACCCAGGCATGTGCCCTGACCGGGAATTGAACCCTGACCTCCTGGTTCATAGGTCGATGCTCAACCACTGAGCCATGCTGGTCAGGCAGCAATGGGGCTTTTTTGAAGGTTTGTGATGACTGAAGGTAATGAGAGATGACTAGAGCTGTTTGTTTAATAATATGGCAGTCCTAGGTCAAAGTGAGGAGACACTAGAGCAGTGGTTCTCAACCTGTGGGTCGCGACCCCTTTGGAGGATCGAACGACCCTTTCACAGGGGTCGCCTAAGACCATCGGAAAACACATATATAATTACATATTGTTTTTGTGATTAATCACTATGCTTTAATTATGTTCAATTTGTAACAATGAAATTGGGGGTCACCATAACATGAGGAACTGTATTAAAGGGTCTCGGCATTAGGAAGGTTGAGAACCACTGCACTAGAGGCAAAGAGGCCATGGAGAAGGCCAGTACAGTATACTCATAAGAAGGGCAAGGACTAAGAAGGTTGGGGACAGAGCAGAGAGTGGCAGGTGAATGTACATGGCACCGCAGAGGGACAAAATACAGGAAGTAAGTATGGAATTTAGTCACCTGTGCCCAGTAGTTGGGCTTAGCCAAAGTAAGGAATGGGTCCAAGTAGAGGAATTTCTGTTTGGGAAATGTTTGTGATACTGGTAGGCTATATATTGCACATATTTGGAAATGTGGAATGAGTTTAGTATAGAAGTAGAGATTTTGAATTTCCTCGGTTTAGAAATGATTTTTTTGAAACAATAGGAAGAGATGAAATTACCAAGAAAAAAATACACAGGTAGAGGAGATACTTAGAAGTAAGACAAAGAGAGAGTATTCAGGAAAAAAAATACAATGTAGTTATTCATTTATGTGGAAATCCAGGGTAGAGATATTTAAGAGGGAGGCTTGGTCAATAGTGTAAAAAAACTAGAAAAAGATCATGGAGGTTGAGAATGAGAATAGACCATTGTACATAGAAATTAGGTCTTCAGTGGGACCTCCAAGAATGAAGCTTTAGTAGAGTGCTCAAGATGGAAGCCAGGTTGCAAATGGTCAAATATGTGTTGTGGGCAGGTAAAAAAATAGAGACAACAAGACAGAATGTGCTTTGCAAAAGTCCAACCATCCAGGAATGGTGAGTGAAGTAGGCAGTTTGTTAGGTTAACAAGATCATACCAAGTTTGAAGAATTTTGTTGGTGTTTTTATTTTTTAAAAAAATATATTTTATTGATTTCAGAGAGGAAGGGAGAGGAAGAGAGCTAGAAACATCATTGATGAGAGAGAATCATCAATCGGCTGCCTTCTGCATGCCTCACACTGGGGATCAAGCCCGAAACCTGGGCATGTGCCCTGACCAGGAATTGAACCACGACCTCCTGGTTCATAGGTCCACACTCAACCACAGAGTCACGCTGGCCAGGCTTGTTGTGTTTTTAGTCACTGCAAGACCAGAGGATGTTTCTTTGGAGTCTGAGCAGAGAACAGATGGAGGTTGTAAAATCAACAGGAGATAAGTGATTGATGAGCAGAACAAACTCCTAAGAAGTTGGAGAGATTGGGACTGGGAATTTAGTTAATCTTTCTGAAACTCAGCAGGGAACCTGTGACAGTCAGCTCAGAATTCAGTGGAAAGCCCATCTCTGTTTCTGGGTGGAAGACCAGATTATGGGTGATGCTGATTTTTCTTTATTTGTATTTTTAAGGGTTTTTTTTTAAATGAACATGAATTATTTGACCATGAATTTTGCTTTAAGAAAAAGAACCTAAGATAGATACCCCCTCTCCCCAGAGGCACTAAGGGTAATAAATGAGGCCTTTTACCTCCTTCACAGCTTCAGCCAGGGCCACTCCCCGTCCCACAGTGCACCATCTTTGGCACACTTCTCCATGAAGGATAGCAAGCAACCTTTACCTTCACAGAAGTTAGGAAGGGCAGGCATCTTTTTGTGATGTTTGAACACAGGACAATCTTGAGGAAGACCACATGAATGCTGAAAGCACCATATCTGTTGGATGACTTGGAAGAAAGAATAATAAAATTTAAGAGGAAAATAATTGCCCGTGTACTGCTTTGAAAGCTGTGGCCTCAGTGTAGCAAGGGAGTCTCTTCATACATTGCTAATGCTCATTAATTACTTAGTAAGTGTACTAACTTAAGGATTCACTTTTACTAAGTGCTTCGAGCCTTCGCATCAATTTTGTACTTTTGAGACTTGTACACCAGCGTTCATAGGAACAATGTTTATATGAGTGCTAAATTGATGTAGATTTCTCCTTTAAAAGTGTGAAACATCATAAATTTCCATTTTATGAATATTTATTAAAGTGTAGAACTTCGGACATATAGCCTTTTCAGTGTTGTAGAAGAAAAAGGTATAAGTGATTTAGGTGTTTAACTTGTAGATGTATTACTACTGTACTTAATGTTATTTGATTGGTGTCTTTAAAAACATAGATATTCATTAATCCCATGCTCCCTGAAAGTGTCAGCTGTGCATCAAACAGGCTGAGAATATGTTGCGTGTCCCCAAAAAATGTATATACACTTAACAACTGATAGCTCAATTGATGTTTCTTCCCTTTCAAATTTAACCCATTGGGATTAATAATTATTCAAAGTGTGGCCCTAGCCGGTTTCACTTAGTGGGTAGAATGTCAGCTTGTGGACTGAGGGGCCCCAGGTTCAATTTTGGTCAAGGGCATATGCCCAGGTTGTGGGGCATGCAGGAGGCAGCCAATCAGTGATTTTCTCTCATCATTGATGTTTCTATCTCTCCTTCTCCCTTCCTTTCTGAAATCAATGAAAATATATTGAAAACTAAACAAAAAATTAATCAATAACAAAAAATAATATTCAATGTGCATATACATTTGGGGGGGCACCCTGTATTTGGGTGAAAAGAGATAGAATGTCTTGGGCTAATTCATATGTGTGTGTGTGTAAATATATATATATATATATATATATATATATATATATATATATATATATATTTACTCCCTTTAGAGAGTAAGGGAGAGAGACAGAATAAGAGAGACAGAAACATCTAGATATATAGAAGGCTAATATGCTTTGTGTCCATCTGGGTAATGACATCACGTAACAACACCTGTCTTCCTCTCCCTAGCGACTAACCGCCTTGGAGTTTCTTCAGCCCAGGAACATGACTTGCTTTATAGCCAGGTGCAAACAGTTTACAGTTTAACCAAATGTCTGTGAAGCATTTTCCCCTGCCTCATCTAATTTGATCCTCACAGAAGTCCTGGAGTAGGTAGATAGGAGACTCGGTGGAATCCTATTTTCTTTTCATTAGCCAGAAAACGGAGATTTAGAAAGCTTAGAAACTTGACCCAACTTAAAAGAAGTAAGAAATGGTGGACCTTGATAATGACTTCAGGTTTTCTCACTGCACAGAATATAGTCACACACTGCTGCAGTTAAATATTTTACCCTTTGTTCTCCCTTCGTGATCTACAATAATAATCTGCTTCGTGTTGATATTTACTGCTGTGTTGCTGACAATTACCTGAAAGAGAAGTTGGGGTGCTTCGCTGGGCTGGAAAAGGTTTTGCTAAATCAGAAAGCAGGTCTAATTAAGCAAATTTATTCTATATCTATAAAAGGCTAAGTTGACTCGTGCATGTGCGATACATATAAAGCTCTTGCTGGCACCAATCACACACGTGAGTTTTGATCTGTCATTGTTGATCGTGAATTTGGTTGACACTTCTATTATAGAGAAAGGGCAAATAACGGTATTAAAATATTTCTTCTAATCAATTTCCTTTCAATGTGCATGAATTTGTACACCAGGCCACTAGTCAATGATAAAAGAGAATCATGAATTGGCTACCTCCTGCACACCCCCTACTGGGTATAGAGCCCACAACCCAAGCATGTGCTTCAACCAGGAATTGAACTGTGACCTCCTAGTTCATAAATTGATGATCAACCACTGAGCCATGCTGGCCAGTTTGGGCTAATTCTTATTCAGAACAATGGTACCTGGAAAAATGTTGATGGGGACAAAATTGCCCTCGGTTTCTGTTTGCAGCGGGTGGGGCCTGTTGACATCGTGCTGACTGGATAAGCTACTGCTGAGATCCCTCTGTGACAGAGCAGAGCAGCCGGGCCCATGGGGAGGGAATCCTGAGCCCAAGCAGGATAGTTTGTGGAAAGCCAAGGGTGACAATCACAGCCAACTCAGTTAAAACTGTTTCCCTGTGACCCTTACTGGTATCAGTTTATGCTGCTTATCTGCCCGGCACAAGTCAAAACTACTCACGTCCACATGCCAGACTTGTTGCATAGTCCAAAGCTTATGCTGATAAAGCTGCCACAGGATAAATTCAGTTCTTCCATGGCAGCCCTGTTGCATCTTGGCCCTGACTCTCCCGGCGGCTGTTAGAATGCACAGTCTTGCAGAGGGAACGGGAAAGCTAGGCCTGAGTAGCCTTTCCCTGTATGCCACTCCTGTCCCCACAGTCCAACTACACTTTTCGATACTCTGCACTTGGACTTCTCTTTGTGCCAGAAGAGAGCGGTGTTACTGTTTGTGACTGTTCTAATTATGGAGCTAAGCTGGCCTGCCCCATTGATGAATGGCCCTTAATCACAATGCTTCAGTCCACATGGATGAGTAGCAATGTCACTGTGACTGAAAGTGGAATTAGTTGTAATTCAGTGATATTTTATAAACAGCCTTGGGCTATGACTGACTAAGTACCGGATGCCATTCCTGCCTTTTCCCATTAAGATTACACTAGGCACATTTTCTTCTAGACTGACCTTTAAAACATGTTTCCAAAAGGAGTATGTGGTATTTGTTAGCTGTTGGAACTCTTCTAGTTTATTTCTTCTAAAACTTTATTTTTTAATGTATTTTTATTGATTTCAGAGAAGAAGGGAGAGGAAGAGAAAGATAGAAACATCAATGATGAGAAAGAATCATTGATCAGCTCTCTCCTGCATGCCCCACAATGGGGATCGAGCCCCCAACCCGAGCATGTGCCCTGGAATCGAACCGTGACTTCCTGATTCATAGGTCAATCAATGCTCAAACATTGAGCCATGCCAGCTGGGCCTAAAACTTTAATATAATGACTTTTATTGTACTAAGTATCAATTTGAGTAATTTGTATTATTAGTATTTCACTACTTACTTTTAATAAAATTGTCATACTGTTTATTCTTCCCCCAATTATAGGTATGGAACAGGCTGCTTCTTACTATGTAATACAGGCCGTAAGGTGGGTGTTTTTTTGTCTTTTTTTTTCAAATTAAAAGATTGAGCATCATTTACCATTAAGTTACTTTTAAGCTTCAGCTTTTACTTAATCTTTATCAGGGTTTAATTAAGAACTCAATGATGAATATCACTAAATTTGAATGTTTCGAATAAGAACCATTCTAAGTTATTTGAATTTTATATTTTTTTATTGTGTTGGGGGGATATGTACATTAGGACCTTGTTAGATTCTTAATGCAAACCTAATTTGGAACAAGAGATAAACTTTTTGTACTGTTTAAGTGTATTGCTCCTAATACTGGAATTTTGACTAAGATTGATTTATTTTTAAATTGTTATATTTATTGAATTATTTTGTACCTAGGTTATTTTAGCTTTACAAAATAAGCTATCTTTTCGTTTTCCTGAATACTGAAGTCTTTTTCTCTTTCCTATAGTGTGTATTTTCTGAACATGGCCTTCTGACCACAGTGGCTTACAAACTCGGTAGAGATAAACCTGTATATTATGCACTGGAAGTAAGTATTTTTCAGTTAATATAGATACTATGTCACACAATCAAAACTAAGAAAATTGCAGTCTTTTCTAACATCTTTTCTGGTAATTCTTAATATATAGGACTGAAAAACTCTGTTTTCTTCTTGACATTTGGTTGAGTGGAAGGAACCTGGGACAGAACTGGGGGTCAGGACTCCCAGGAGACCTTGAATATATTGGTTCCTCAGTTCTTTTGCCAATTAATTGTGGGACCTTAACCACATTGCTATTATTTAGCTGCTTCACAATGTAAGATTTTTCTATTTCTAAAATATAATGAGGCATTGATTTGCTCTAATATTTCTTTCAGCTTGAGTATTCAGGGTTTGTTTTTTTAAATATATTTTTGAGGGGGAGAGAGAGAGAGAGAGAGAGAGAGAGAGAGGGAGAGAGAGAGAGAGAGAGAGAGAGAGAGAGAGAGAGAGAGAGAGAGAGAGAAACATCAGTGATGAGAAAGAATCATTGATTGGCTACTTCCTGAACACCCCACACTGGGGATTGAGCCTGCAACCTGGGCATGTGCCCTGACCAGGAATCGAACCAGGACCTCCTGATTTATAGGTCGATGCTCAACCACTGAGCTATGCCGGCTGAGTGAAAATTCTTTTTTTAAAAATATATTTTATTGATTTTTTTTACAGAGAGAAAGGGAGAGGGATAGAGAGTTAGAAACATCGATGAGAGAGAAACATTGATCAGCTGCCTCCTGCACACACCCTACTGGGGATGTGCCCGCAACCAAGGTACATGCCCTTGACCGGAATCGAACCTGGGACCCTTCAGTCTGCAGGCCGATGCTCTATCCGCTGAGCCAAACCGGTTAGGGCCGAAAATTCTTTTTTTATGACTACTGTGCCCCAGTGTTTCAAAGAGAAATACTGGGCAAAAAAGGCAGAGCAGCTTTTCTTCATGTGTCTCTCCATAAAAATACTTTGTGTCACATTTTGATGTGGGAAATGAAGTGAGAAGATTTATGCCATATTTCACTGAAAGCATTTGTTTTAAAACATGTTTGTAGATTCTAGTAGGAATGTCAGCCTAAGTCTATAGGGCTTTATGGTAGGTTTGTATTAAAAACCTTAGAAACATTTACTTCAAAAGTCAAAGAAGCAGTACCCTTTGTAAAATCAGATACATTTCTGCCTGGCCAGTGTGGCTCAGTGGTTGAGCATCGACCTATGAACCAGGAGGTTGCATGTGCCCGGGTTGCATGCTCTATCTCCAGTGGGGGGCGTGCAGGAGGCAGCCGATCAGTGATCCTCTCTCATCATTAATATTTCTCCCTTCCTTTCTGAAATCAATAAAAAAATATATTTTTTAAAAATCAGATACATTTCTCTTTTTTTAAATCATCACCCAAGGATATTTTTTCCATTGCTTTCTAGAGAGAGTGGGGGGGACAGGGGGAGGGAAGAGGTGGGAATAGAGAGAGAAACATTGATGTGATGTGAGGGAGACAAATTCACTAGTTGCCTCCTACACGTGCCCCACCTGGGGCTAGGGAACTTGCAACCAAGGTAAGTACCCTTGACTGGGAACTGAACCTGAGACCCTCAGTCCACAGGCTGACGGTCTAACCAGCCAGGGCAATGCAATTCTTAAAAATACTTCTTTACAATTAATTTTAAATGCTCCCGTTTATTACACAAATATATTGTATGATCTGAAAAGTTACTGAGCCTTGTTTCCTGGAGTATCTATCTATCTATATAAAAGCCTAAGCGACCGGATGGTAGCTATGATGCACACTGACAACCAGGGGGCAGACGCTCAACACAGGAGCTGCCGAGCCGTGGTGACTTGGCAGCTGCGGTTCTTGGGTGACGCACCCGGAACCAGAGAGGAGGGAGCCCGATTCCTGGGTGCGTCACCCAAGAACTGCCCTCTCACACTCCATGACCCCTCGGAGGATGTCAGAGAGCTGGTTTCGGCCAAGGGACCCCACTGGTGCACGTAAATTGGGCCTCTAGTCTAATAATTTGGTCAAAGTATTAGATTTGCTTTTAGTTAAAACATTTTTTTAGTTGTTAAGCCTAGAGCATGTGGGGTTTTAGTTTATTTCAGTTATTTCTTGCCCTCCCCCTATATAAGTACTGTAACCTCTGCCCCAACCCCTTTTCTGTGGATAATAGGAGCATTTGTGAAACACTTGTTCTGTGTATTCAAGATATCCTAATACTTCTCAGAACGTAAACTCTTACAAGCCCTCTCTCCCTTTGTTTCCACTATGGAAAGCTCAGTGGATAGAGCATTGGCCTGTGGACTGAAGGGTCCCAGGTTCGATTCTGGTCAGGGGCGCATACCTTGTTTGCAGGCTCCTCCTTGGCCCGGGTCCTGGTCAGGGCTCGTGCAGGAGGCAACCAATCGATGTGTTTCTCTCACATCGATGTTTCTCTCTTTCCCTCTCTCTTCCGCTCTCCTTAAAAATCAATGGAAAAATATCCTCGGGTGAAGATTTAAAAAAAAAAACTTCCGCAGGTCACATGATTTCTAAATTCTTTTTGGTTCTGGGCTGCCTTCATTGCATGCATTCCATTTTGCCACTGTCTTCCAGAACAGAATAGAATATTCCATATGCAACCTGATGTGTATTCGAGAGAGTGATTTGGGCATCTCTGACCATAAACACTACTTTGGCTGCTCTAGCCTGAGAGTTCATTAATTTGATCTGATAACCTCATCATATCCTTGGCTCCAGGAGCTCATGCTAAAATATCTAGTGCTTTTCCAAATGAGTCATTGTCAAGACAAGTCCTGCTCCATTCTGTACTTGCACAGATCTTTTGTTCCTCTAAATTCTGGTCTGCATTTTCCTTTTAAATTTCATGATAGTGATTTCAGCCTATGCCAGCCAACACAGACTCTATTCTGTTACTCTTCCAGTTTTGGCTCATCTGGAGGCTTAATAAGCATATGCTCTCTGATTTTGTTTCAATTCATGTAACTTTGTTTAGATTCATAAAATTTTAAAGCAGAGAGGGATAATAGATTAGGTGACAACAGGCTTTGCTACACCCTCCTCTCCCTTGTTTTACACACATGAGGAATCTGAGAGTAGACAAGTGAAATTGGAGTCACTTGGCCAAGGTAACTTTTGACAGCCAGTAAGTAGCTGATCCAGGAGGCAAATATCCAGGTTATTGGGCTTCAAAGTCTAGATGGATAAGCCACCCCACTATGCCTTCTCCTTCCTTGTAAATCTGGATATTCAGGACTCCAGTCTCCCAAGTCCAGTATTTTTTGTTTGTTCGTTTGTTTTTTATTTACTGAGAGCAAAAGAGGAAGAGAGAGATATGAGACAGAGAGAGAGAGAGAGACATCAATTTGTTGTTCCACTTTTTTATGCATTCATTGGTTGCTTCTTGTATGTGCTCTAACCGGCCATTGAACCCACAACCTTAGCATGTAAATGATCAAACAATTTTTTAAAAATTAAATCAAACATGCCGTAACCGGTTTGCTCAGTGGATGGAGCATTGGCCTGCGGACTCAACGGTCTCAGGTTCAATTCTGGTCAAGGGCATGTACCTTGGTTGCGGGCACATCCCCAGTAGGGAGTGTGCAGGAGGCAGCTGATCCATGTTTCTCTCTCATCGATGTTTCTAACTCTCTATCCCTCTTCCTTCCTCTCTGTAAAAAAAAAGTCAATAAAATGTAAAAAAAAATTAAATCAAACAAACAAATTAACAAAAAGGCAGGGATTAAAGCTAGATTGTTAAAATTTTTTCTAACAAATAAGTTCCTGCTTATTGCACTTGGTCATACTGCTTCCTTTTTTCTGTAAGTGCTCACAAAGCATATATTCAATACTCATTTTTTAATTTGACAGATTATTGTTAGGCTTGGCAATTTTAGGTATTAAAACTTTACTTTCATCCTGGCCGGTTTGGCTCAGTGAATAGAGCATTGGCCAGCAGACTGAACAGTCCCAGGTTCGATTTCAGTCAAGGGCGCAATGCCTGGGTTGTGGGCTTGGTCCTCAGTAGGAGACGTGCAGGAGGCAGCTGATCAATGATTCTATCTCAACATTGATGTTTCTGTATCTCTCTCCCTCTCCCTTCCTCTCTGAAATCAATAAAAATATATTTTTTTAAAAAGGATATTTTTAAAAAATATTTTTCCCTTTATTGAATAAGATATTACAAATGTGCCCTTATCCCCCCCCCCAACGTCCCCTCATCCCCCCAATTCTGCCCTCACCCTCACCCCCTGTTGTCCACATCCGTCACTTATGCTTATAGGCATGCATACAAGTCCTTTGGTTGATCTTTCCCCCTCACCCCCACCCTCCCCTGCCTTCCCTCTGAGTTTTGAGCATCTGATCGATGCTTCTCTGTCTCTACATCTGTTTTTGTTCATCGGTTTATGTTGTTCATTATAATCCACAAATGAGTGAGAGCATGTGATAGTTATCTTTCTCTGACTGACTTATTTCACTTAGCATAATGCTCTCCAGCTCCATCCATGCTGTTGCAAATGGTAGGAGTTCCTTCCTTTTTACAGCTGCATAGTATTCCATTGTGTAGATGTGACAACGTTTATTAATCCATTCATCTGCTGATGGGTACTTAGGCTGATTCCAAATCTTAGCTATGGTACATTGTGCTGCTATGAACATAGGGATGCATATACCGTTTCTGATTGGTGTTTCTGGTTTCTTGGGATATAGTCCTAGAAGTGGGATCACTGGGTCAAATGGAAAAAAAGGATAGATGATTACTATTATTAAAAAATAAAAATTAAAAAAAAAAACCTTTGCCGAACCGGTTTGGCTCAGTGGATAGAACGTCGGCCTGCGGACTCAAGGGTCCCTGGTTCGATTCCGGTCAAGGGCATGTATCTTGGTTGCGGGCACGTCCCCACTGAGGGGCGTGCAGGAGGCAGCTGATCGATCTCTCTCATCGATGTTTCTGACTTTCTATCCCTCTCCCTTCTTCTCTGTAAAAAATCAATAAAATATATTTAAAAAAGAAAAAGTTTTTTTAAAAACAAACAAACAAACAAAAAAACCTTTACTTTCTATCCCTTTTAAAAACTGAAACTAACCTGGACCCTTAATTAAAAAAAAAAAAAGGAAGAAAAACAACAATAAAAAAGCCTCACTAAAAAAAACCAAAAACAAAAAAACTGAAACTAGCTATCCATCGTAGTTTTTAGTCTTCTTTTATTTCCCTGTGATTTGGAAGCTACAAAATGCATTTCTAATATTTTGTTTTGTTTTGTTTTTCTTTTGTAGTACTTTTAAATTTAAGGTATTACTTAATTACACATTTTCCTAAGTGTTTTTAGTTGTTTAGTGTTTTTAACCTCCTGGCCATTTGAGGACCCCACCACCTTCACCAGCAATCATGTTGTTGTGCTTAGTTTTCATTTCCCCTTTTTCTTGAACATGCAATAATTGGTCCTATTTTCTTTTCAGTTGATAGTAAATCGTATTTATGAGTCTGGGTTGGTAAACCTGTTTCTTTTGCCCTCTAAACAGAGAGAAACATTCACTTGAGAGAAACACATCAATTGGTTGCCTCCTGCAGGAGCCCTGACCAGGGCCCAGGCCAGGAAGGAGCCTGCAACCAAGGTACATGCCCTTGACTGGAATCGAACCCGGGACCCTTTGGTCTGCAGGCTGATGCTCTATCTACTGAGCCGAACTGGCTAGGGCCAGTATGTACTTTTTGATCTGGCTTGTTTCATTGAACTTTTGTGTTTGTGAGATTCATCCATATTGTTAAATAGAACTATTGTTTCATTCTTTTTTTATTACCACATGAAAATACCACCAGCAGCGTCTGGGAACACTAATTTACTCATCATCTCTATTCTACAGTTTGTTCCATCTATTACATTTTTAAATTTCACTCAGTAATTTCATTTCTTCATTTGTTATTTTTATTTCTCTTTTGGTTCCTAATTTTATTAAATTTTTAATGGAAATCCTATTTTTTCATTTTATTACTTTTAGCACATACTTATTTTAAAGTCTTTGTCAGACTGGAGTGAATTCTATTCCAGCTGTTAGGTTTTGTTGACTGATGTCTTAATAGATTTCTTGTATTTTGGAATTTTCACTTCCTGTTTCTTCTATGAAGCAGTAGCCTTAGGCAACAAGTGGACAGTTGCTTGTTTGCAGGCGTTCCTACACTGGTAGGAGATCGCCACCTAGCCCCTGGCTTCAAGCACTGAAGCTGATTCTATTCCTTGTCTTTTATACCAAGCATTTTGGGTCCCTTTCCTCCAGAGGAACCAATTTTCAGCCACCACTCCTGCTCCCAGACATACAGAGAAATGAATCAGAATCCATCATGCTGTGACTTTAAGTCATGCATTTCTGTTTCTGTCCACATCTTTTCTATATATGAGTCAGCGTGTGTTATTTCAGTTTTCTCTTGTTACATTTTGCCTGTGATCCTCTGTGTTTACACATCCTCCTGGCGTGTGATTCATCTGGGCCTGACATGGTTCCCATTTTCACTCTCCGTGAAAAGGAATTGGGTCACATGACCCTTCCCTTGCTCTAAGACTTTAAACGCGTATTTAACTGCTTAAATTTGTCACGCTGTTTCTAGTTGGAAATTTTTTCTTAGTGGTGGAAAAGACAAGTGAAATAGGACAGTTGAGTGTTTCTGCTTTCCTTGTGCTGTCTATTAATAGCGCATTATCTTCCAGAAGTTGTGTTTCCTCCCTTGTTCATCTGTTTATAAATATTACTTCATAAAACAGAATCCTTTTGGGGGCTTTAATATGATTATGAACTAGAGCTTATTTAGGATCTGTGCCTTCTGTGTGCTGTATTCTGTCACTAGGATATAAATACCCTGAAGCCAGGCTACTTGTCTTTTTTATCACGCCACCTCAGCCAGCTGACATGTAGTAGAAGTAGACACTCAATAAATATTGTTTACATTACCAAATCCTATGTTATGCCATTTTTTTCTGCTTAAATATGAGCTTCAAAGGGGGTTTCCTGTATCCCCCACCTTGGTTTATTTAAATGTCCTTTCTCCCATCTCTTCTTTTACACAATTTATGATTATAGTGTTAAGATTTTAGAGTTGTTATCCCTCTTGAGCCAGCTATCCTATTTTAGGTATAAGCCTATGCATTAGTTAACGATTGCTGTATAATGATATCACCACAAATGTCAGTGGCTTAAACCGTGCCCATGTATTTATTATCTCACAATTCCCATGGGTCAGGAGTTCCAAAGCTGAAATTTTTTAAATTTTATTCATCTGGTAGTGTCATACACAGAGAATATGCGCAGTAAAACTTTTTATAGTGATAGCATATACTTCTCTTGGATTCCTTTTTTTTTCCATAGGGTTCTGTAGCTATAGCCGGTGCTGTCATTCGCTGGCTAAGAGACAATCTTGGAATTATAAACAGCTCAGACGAAATTGGTGAGTATGTTCTAACAAAGGGTTAGAAGCTGAATAACGAAAATGTTAAATATTTTATCTTTGCAATCTGTTAGTCTTTGCGCTTTTATCCTATGTGTGATATTAACATATATGGATCCCTATTATTAGTTTCATTTATACATAAAAGACTAGTTTGTGAAGATTTGTAAAACAATGAATTAACATATTTAGAGTTGGTTATTATTAAACTGGCAAAGTAGGGCATAAAATTTAATCAAGTGTAAAATCGAACACCAAAGATTTGCCAGAACCTTCAGGGGAAGTAGTCCAGTTAAATTTATCCGATGAGAAAGAGCTTTAACTCTTGAATTAGAGTGAGAATTAAAACTCTAGTAACTATAATTAACTCCATTAATTAAGTATTAATGTGGCTATTTTCGATTTATGGATAATTATTATTTTTAAAAAATATTTTATTGATTTCAAAGAGGAAGGGAGAGGGAGATAGAATGATGAGAGAGAATCATTGACCAGCTGCCTCCTACATGCCCCCTACCGGGGATCAAGCCTGCAACCCCTGCATGTGCCCTTGACCAGAACCTTGACCAGGACAGCACTATATCCACTGAGCAAAACCGGCTAGGGCTATGGATAATTATTTTGAACTCACCTACCCACACTTTCATCTGACTTGTTTAATTTTGCCCGAAGGTGAGATAATCAGAAACACATATTTGATTATGGATGCATTGGAGGCCACTTCTTCTTATTCCAGTCAACAACCTTAAAAATAGTGGAAATGAGCTGAAGTACCTTAACGAAACGAATCCAGTTCTTTTATTTTGGGGGGCTAGGTTACATTTTAGTTGTGGTATTCAATGTGGAGCAATTTATTTTGGTTCCTTCTAGCATACTGCTATAATTAGGAACATTTTATGGTACTAATGAATATTTATGGTACTAATGACTAGGAAACAAAAAGTCCTGTCCTCCTAATTTTTTAATGGATGTGTTTATTGACTAAAGTAAATAGAATATATTAGAGTGACTTTTATTTTTCTTTTCTTTAATGTTAGAAAAACTTGCTAAAGAAGTAGGTACTTCTTATGGCTGCTATTTCGTCCCAGCGTTTTCAGGGTTATATGCACCTTACTGGGAGCCCAGTGCAAGAGGGTAAGAATTTAAAATAAGGTATGCTTTTGTGGGTTTAATATTAGTCAAGAGTTTCCTACCTATTTTCAAATTATTTTGAATCATCTGCCAATAAGCCCCCACCATGTTGATATGTATATTAGTGTTATTACCTTTTTTTATTATTGACTTCAGAGAGGGAAAGGGAGAGAGAGATAGAAACATCAATGATGCGAGAGAATCGATGATTGGCTGCCTCCTGCACACCCCACACTGAGGATCAAGCCTGCAACCCAGGCATGTGCCCTGCACTAGAATCGAACCTGGGACCCTTCAGTCCGTAGGCTGTAGCTCTATTCATTGAGCCAAACCAGTGAGGGCTTATTATTTTTTATCTTCAAGGCATCTGCAAGTTCTGTATCCAAGGGATATCATCTCGATAAATGCTGATTTGGTTTTATATTTTTGTCACCTATTTATATGGATCATGAACTTTTTCATATGTGGGTGCAGGATTTTGGACCACATTGACTTTCTAAGCTACTTAATGTTTATGTCCAGTGTTGGTTTTAATTTATATATTAAATTGGGGTGACATTGGTCAACATGAATATATAGGTCTCAGGTGTGGGTTTCTATGTCACAAGATCTGTATATTGCACCCTGTGCCCACCAACCAAAGTCAAATCTTCTCCTGTCACCTCATATTAGGAGCCCTTCTCCCCCCCACCTCTGTTGTTGTTCTTAATTTCTATTTTTCCCCCTGCACATTCCTAACAAATTCAGCCTTTCTGTATTCAGGATATTTCAGACTGATGACTCATTTCTTATCACTCTAATCTTAAAAATATTTGTGTTTTTAGGATCATCTGTGGGCTCACTCAGTTCACCAATAAATGCCATATTGCTTTTGCTGCATTAGAAGCTGTTTGTTTCCAAACCCGAGAGGTAATAAATATGGGCTTATTTTCTTATGCTTAATCTGCTTTTATCATTCTTTTTTTTTTTAATATATTTTATTGATTTTTTACAGAGAGGAAGGGAGAGAGATAGAGAGTTAGAAACATCAATGAGAGAGAAACATCGATCAGCTGCCTCCTGCACATCTCCTACTGGGGATGTGCCTGCAACCCAGGTACATGCCCTTGACCGGAATCGAACCTGGGACCTTTCAGTCCGCAGGCCGACGCTCTATCCACTGAGCCAAACCGGTTCCGGCTGCTTTTATCATTCTTAAACAAATTACATATGCGTGTCAGAAATTTTGTGCATTTTTAAATACTTATTAAATACTTAATCAAAAATTAAACCTGCTTAAACACTAATGTGATGAATGTAAGTTTTTGTTCTTTTTGCCAGCTGGTATTACCTTCTGAGTTCCTGTCATCTGCCAGGCACTGGGCATTTTATGATTGGGGGGACGCTCAGTGGGACACATTGGGCAAAGGGAATAGCACTAACAGTCATTGAGGCGGGGAACCTGGGCATAAAATAGAGTTTTTTGGTTTGAGTGAGTACAGACGTGTAGGGAGAGAAAAGGTTGATTGTGACCAGAACAAAGAGGGCTTAGAAGACCATAATAAGAGTCTAAATTTTATTCTATAGGCTTTGGGAAGCTCTTGAGCATTTTTTTGGATAGAAAATCAACATTTTTAGGGATGTTAATATGAAGTGGTTTATGTTCATTACGTTGGTTTATTTCAGATTCTGGATGCCATGAACCGTGACTGTGGAATTCCACTCAGTCATCTGCAGGTAGATGGAGGAATGACCAACAATAAAATTCTTATGCAGCTACAAGCAGACATTCTGTATATCCCAGTAGGTTAGTAAACCTTTATTCCTTTACATTATGAGACTAATGTTTCTTTTGGAGGAGCTGGTGTTTAGGCATCTGTAAGAAATACAAAGTTGTTGATGTTACTTTCGATGTCCTTTGTCCTCTCAGTGAAGCCTTCCATGCCAGAAACCACTGCCCTGGGAGCCGCCATGGCAGCAGGGGCTGCAGAAGGAGTTGGTGTTTGGAGTCTGGAACCTGAGGATCTGTCAGCTGTCACAGTGGAGCGGTTTGAACCCCAGATCAATGCTGAGGGTACATTTGAAAAAATGAAACTTTTCATGGTGTACTGTGAACAGAGAGCTTGCCTTTCTGTGTATTCATAAATTAAGGGACTAAGGACAATAACAAAAGCTACTGCTTCAAGTTTGGCTACTAAGCGTATTGGGCTTAACTGAATGAGTGTGCATGAGAGAAATCGTTTCTTATTAAAAAAAAAAATCTAGCCCAGCTGGTGTGGCTCAGTGGTGTTGAGCTTCAAGCTATGAACCAGGAGGTCACAGTTCAATTCCTGGTCAGGTCACATGTGCGGATTACAGGCTCAGTCCCCAGTGGGGGGCGTGCAAGAGGCAATGATTCTCATCATTGATGTTTCTATCATTCTCTTCCTCTCCTTTCCTCTCTGAAATCAATAAAAATATCTAAAAAAATATATAAAATCACATCTTTACTCTTCACATTTTTACAGTTCTTTTGTATAGAAGGATAACACTACCACACCATCAGTTCTAGCTTGTTCGAATAGCCTTTTTTATGAAAGGGAGAAGGAGATCTATCAGCCACCCACCCCTAATGTGTACACAGGATCATCTTTGGTGCCAATAGCCCAGTTTTAGGACATGATTAGCCAAGCTATACGATATTCTGGTAACTCATAAGCACAGCAGGGTTAGCCAGACAAAAGCAGCAACAGTTTAAATAAATGAGCATTAAATGTCTTACTCACTTTCTTTCTTTTTATTTCTTTATTGATTTCAGAGAGGAACAGAGAAGGAGAGAGATAGAAACATCAACGATGAGAGAGACTCATTGATTGGCTGCCTCCTGCATACCCCCTACTTGGGATTGAGCCCGCAACCCAGGCATGTGCCCTTGGCTGGAATCGAACCTGGGACCCTTCAGTCCGCAGGCTGACTATCCACTGAGCCAAGCCATCTAGGGCTCTTATTCACTTTCTAACAAACTAAACTAAGGCCCAAGTTCTGAATGACACCTTTATTAAAATAGTATAGTGATTCATCTCTTAAATTGAAACAAATTTTAGTACAATAATATGCTTTCATATATATATTGAATTTGGTTTTATAACTTAAAAAAAAAACCTAAGTGGGCCCAGCCGGCATGGCTTAGTGCCGTGGTCGGCAAACCACGGCTCGTGAGCCACATGCAGCTCTTTGGCCACTTGAGTGTGGCTCTTCCACAAAATACCACATGTGGGCACGCACATACAGTGCGATTGAAACTTCGTGGCCCATGCGCAGAAGTCGGTATTTTGTAGAAGAGCCACACTCAAGGGGCCAAAGAGCCTTATGTGGCTCGTGAGCCACAGTTTGCCGGCCACTGGAGTGGTTGAGCATCAACCTCTGAACCAGGAGGTCACGGTTCGATTCCCCAGTCAAGGCATATGCCGAGGTTGCAGGCTCGATTCCCAGTGTGGGGCATGCAGGAGGCAGCCAATCAATGATTCTCTCTCATCATTGATGTTTCTATCTCCCTCTCCCTTCCTCTCTGAAATCAATATATATATTTGAAAACCTATGCATAAAAATACCATCAAAGTGAATTTTGAGCTATTGGGAAATAAGCTCTAAATTTATTTTAATTTTCTAGAAGACTATGTCAGTGCTTTTTAATTTCATTCACTCTTTTCCGTATACAAGAAAATGGACTGTAATACTAATTATTTTAAAGTCAAGCAGTATGCCATGTACCATGATATAGAAATGTGTTACAAAATCTGATATTCTATCTGTAAATAATTTTTCACTTTTGCAATATTGGATAAAATATGAAGTTGAAAAATTTTTTACACTTCTGAAAAAAAATCAACTTTTTAATAAGCAAATAATGTTCACAGCAAGTATATGGTCTTGAGATGCTAATCCCACTCTTAAATCTAGGAAGTGTTTTGTGCAAAGAGTTGAGGATCACTGTTTTCCTGAAAAGAACTATCTTTGCAATTTTTAAGGCCTTACCCCAGAGTTGATCAGTTATGTCTGTTGTCCTTGCCTTCATCAGTCCCTCTGGTCTTCCCACAACATGCACATGCACACATGCATGCATGTGTACACGCACACTCACAAATGGGCAACTAGATGCAGATAGTTTATTTTGTATTTGTTTTGTTTTTAAAAATATATATATTTTAAAAGATATTTTTTTTGATTTTTTTATAGAGAAGAGGGGAGAGGGATAGAGAGTTAGAAACATCAGTGAGAGAGAAACATCGATCATCTGCCTCCTGCACACCCCCTACTGGGGTTGTGCCCACAACCAAGGTACATCCCCTTGACCGAAATCAAACCTGGGACCTTTCAATCCTCAGGCCGACGCTCTATCCACTGAGCCAAACCGGTTAGGGCTTTAAATATATTTTTATTGATTTCAGAGAGTAAGGGAGAGGGAGAGAGAGAGAGAGAGAGAAACTGCAATGAAGAGAGAGAATCATTGATTGGCTGCCTCCTGCACGCCCCCTACTGGGGATCGAGCCCACAGCCCAGGCATGTGCTCAGACTAGGAATCAAACTGACCTCCTGGTTCATAGGTCAATGCTCAACCACTGTGCAACACCGGCCAGGCAATAGTTCATTCTTACAGCAAATATTTGTTTAGAGCTTACAAATGGCCTAGTCTCAGCAGGCAGCCTGTCTCCCAGTCACTGGCCATCACTATCAACCGTACTCTCAAATCGGAGTCCTGGTAAAGTCCCACATTAGTTTAATATGTGTAACAATTTGTCAAGGATTCTGAGTGAACATAAGTATAGTGCTTAAAACATCTCAGTAAACAGCCTTTCATGTGTGTGTGTTGTTCCTATCTTCTATTTCTAGAAAGCGAAATTCGTTTTTCTACCTGGAAGAAAGCTGTGATGAAGTCAATGGGCTGGGTTACAGCTGAGTCTTCGGAAAGCGGTAACTATGTTTTTATTATTATTACCACTTTGTCTCACTATGTTTTAAATAGCTTATTTAAGCATCTGACTATTTATACTTACCAAAGCTGTATTACCATATATCTAGAGCTTCTAACATTCTGAAAACACTTTAAGTTCTAAACATAGTGTAAATTATCAGGTTGCTATGCACACATCCTGCCATCTTATTAGTTTATTTCTAGTACTTTGATTTATTGCTTTGTTTTCTAAAAGTAAAATTATTTCTAGTTCCTACTTGTTTTTCTAGTTTCTCCTTAATGAAAAAACAATCAACTACAATCTTTGTTGTTTTTTTTCCTCCTAATGTCTTACTTTACCTTTTTGGGGGGCCGTCTTCATGACCTGAACTAATAATCGCTTAGGTAGGAAAGTATTCAGTTGAAGTAGTAAACCATCTATATATATATAAAAGCCCAGCCATCAGAACGGCAGAATGAATGGTGGCTATGACACGCACTTTGGCAGCCAACCAGCCTGCTCCAGGCCCCGATTGGCCCCTCCCCAGGCGACCAAGCCCCCAATCAGCCCCCAACACCCAAATCAGGGGTGTGCTGGCCGCCAACTGCCTGTGGCCCCTCCCCCCAGCAGCCTAGCCCAATGGGCCCCCATCCGAGTGGGCCAGCCGGACCCCACCTGTGCACGAATTCGTGCACCAGGCCTCTAGTTTAGTTATAAACAGCCTTAAGCTTCCTTTAATATGCCTGTGCTATTTAAACAGCCTTAAACAGGCCTTTAATATAACAATATTTTTTTTATTTGCTAAATATAAGATTTGGAACGTAATGAAATTTATTTACAGAAGCATATACTTTGCTGAAGAAGAGTTTATAAGTGAAATATAACCTGCCTTCCAAACCAAAGTAGGTATAGAACCACTTTTTTCCCCACCTCCACCCCTACAACCACTTTTTATTTGTTTTTTGTTGATTTGAGAGAGAGAGAGAAACATCACTTTCTTGTTCTACTTATGCATTTATTGCTTGCTTCTTATTTATGCCCTTACCGGGGATCAAACCTGTAACCTTGATGCTCTAAAAACTGAGCTACCTGGCCAGGGCCAAAACCACTTTTAAAGCATCTGGGTTTTAGGAGAAGCTTCTGGAACTGTTCACTCCCACGGATCACTATGATCTGTATTTTTAGTCTTGGATGTTCCTACTTGAAGATTTGCTTTTTCTCCTAAGTAAGTGTAATACCCTTTTTTCTCCGATCTCTTATTTTCAGTTAGAAAACATCAAAATAATCATGTACTCGGACAATTTTTTAGAATGTACATTAATACAATTTAGTTTTCAAATAAGAGTAATATTAACAGTCAGGTGCATTTACTTATATGCCGAATTCTATTTTTTTTTAAATAAAAGAAAACAAAACCAATAAGGTTTGAGATTTATTTATAGTAGGTTAATATAATTTTTCTGATAGCCAAAGCATCTATAATTTGAATTTGGGGGGAATTGGATTGCTTATTTTGTAACTTTTGGGGAAGAAAGCTAAAATCAACAGCCTCCCAAAAAGTTCTCCATTGACTTTCTCTGGCTTTGCCAGTGGAAGGCATATGGTCTACATTATGTTCTTGGCTACTTGTGGCATGCTCTCTGTATTGTCTGTTAATTGTTACAAGCTTTAATATTGATTATATTTTTGAAGTAATAACTCTTTGCTAGCTTTTATGAATATACTATTTTTATAACTTATTGTGTTTTGCTATCATGTGATTCTTAACACAAATATTGTAATTATGTGTCTCTCTTTTGGTTTGCTTGACGGGAAATCCCTTCTACTTGGATGACCACAGGTGACCCTAGTATCTTCTGTAGTCTACCCCTGGGCTTTTTTATAATGAGTAGCATGATAATGTTTATCGGAGCAAGGTACATCTCAGGTCAGTTACTCTTTAAATTAGACAATTTTATTAGTTAGCATTAATATGTTTGTATATAACGCAGCAGAAAGTTTTCAGTATTTTTCATTCTTCCTATGCTTAGGAACCTGGATTATCCATTAAGGGTCTAACTAGACTAATTAATGTTTTGTGGCAGTCAAAATTAAGGACTGAGGCATTGTGTTGTCAACTATAGCAATGAGCAGAAGTGAAAGTACTACTTTTAATGCTAAATGACAGGACTTTCAGAATATTAGCAGAGTATCTGTAAAACCAAAACTGGGGAAAATGTGTAGTCACTTTTGCTTTAGTTTAAAAAAATACATTTTTTGAACTGAAGTTTTAAAAATTATTGCTTAAATAAATGGGTTGAATTAAAACTGAATTATTATTTTTACACCTTAACTTTTACTGAATATTTTTATGGAAGTAAAATTGTTCAGCATGTGATGAAATAAATTGTGTAACCTATATTCATTTAAAGATAACCATCATTTTGGAAGCCATTCCTCATGATAGCTCAATTTTTCTTCAAATTAATCACTTAAATTGAAACAACTTGTTCCATACGTTGCCAAGAAAGTGAAGCATTTTAAAAGTCTTCATGCTTAGAGAAAGAGTTCAATTATTTCTCTTAATTAATTAGATGATGACCTAGTTTTAAAATTTAAGCTTTATTGATATGGGGGAAACATCTGTTTGTAGAAATCTGATAAGCCTTAATTTAGCTTGCCATCATCAGTTTAGTGCTATAAATAAATATGGAATGAAAATTATATCAGAACATTAGATTATTTTTTATTAATCATAAAATATGGGTTACTTGCATGAGAGTTTAAAACTAAGATTGCCTTTTTCTGTATTCTTCACATATGGGATGAATTTGTTCGAATCTTTTGTTTCCATAATAACAATACCTTATGTTTGTATTAATGCTTTATACCTTACAGAGGTCTTCTGTATATAAACATCTTTTTTTTTTTAAATATATTTTATTGATATTTTACAGAGAGGAAGGGAGAGGGATAGAGAGTTAGAAATATCAATGAGAGAGAAACATCGATCAGCTGCCTCCTGCACATCCCCCACTGGGGATGTGCCCGCAACCAAGGTACATGCCCTTGACCGGAATCGAACCTGGGACCCTTGAGTCCTCAGGCTGACGCTCTATCCACTGAGCCAAACCGGTTAGGGCTGTATATATACATCTTGACTGAATTAGCAGATATCTATTTTCTTGGTGTAAGACGCAAATATTCCTCAGAAGAACTATAATTTAAATTTGTAACGAAATGTATATGCTGTTCGGGGGAAAGTTCTATAATTTTTTCAGTATCCTGCCATATTTTTGGCTGCGTAATGATCATCTGGAAAAGGAAAGAAAAGAACATTGCAACTAAAAGTTTTCATTGATTTTCTTTTCCCCCTGTTTCCCCTTTGGTACCATGACAGGATGGAAAGGGCTGCTGTCTATGAAAATTGAGCCATGTAGCATATCTCTAAGCTAAAGGTTACATTAAGTTTCCAAATTCCTAGGCTTCCAAAATGAATATGGTAGCATCTTTAGGTTCTCTGTTGGTAACATAGGCTGAGATTTGATAACAGTGGAATTGTTTGCCTTGGTAAACATTTAGCAATAGTGTTAATATTTGCTAATTCTGGAATTGGCCGTTATATTTGCTGCATTTTTAACTGTGAAGCAATTTTTAGAAACCATATGGAATTTCTAACTCTATAAATGATTAAATAGTCTTCATTGCTTTAACTCCTGAATTGCATGTATGTTATTACTGACATGGTTTTTGTCCCCCATTTTAGGTATCCTATAAATAATAGAACTCATGGATTCCAATGGTGCGAGCTCTTTACCTAACAGACTCCAGCGATTCTCTTACTCTGATGACACTATTCATAGACTCTGATTTTATTTATAAGCCATTTGCTGCATGACCCTCGAAGTTGACCTGTGGCTCGAAATAAAGAAAATGCAGCAGAAAGAATGCTATAGAAACATGGGTGTGTTTTTTAACATCAATCATAAGATTGGACCAGCCATCTTTGGAGCTGACCCCTCCTTTGCCATCACTTCCTGCCCCATTTCCTCTAAGATGTAGGAAGAATCCAGATCCTGTCCATTGGCAGCTTTCCTCAAGCACAGTCAGATGCTGGTGGGCCAGGATTTGATTCTCTGCACTACACACACTTGATCAAGGGGTTATTGCTAACTGACTAAAAATGAGCAACTTTGTGTTTCTTTTTAGCAGAACCCCGAAGTTCTCTTTTCTGCATATGCAGGAAGCCCACAGAATCTTCACTGATTGTTTAAGTGGAATTCTCTACTAAATCCTTAAAATGAAAATTTAGTATTCTCGTAGCTTAGCTATTTTTCTGAAAAGTATTTGCCAAAATCAAAATTCTTCAGCCATTTTACATGGTATCACTAATTATACTGCATTGCTGTCTGGATCTTATAGGGAAGGACACTTTTTTTCTTTTTTTTCCCCATCTCTCCTTTTTATATTTTTTACTTTATATGTATAACATACATGCCTATATATTTTATATACTGAGGGTAGCCCATTTATAAACTAAGAGTACATTTTACATGGCCTCACTAATTACACTGAATTTGTGTCCGGATCTTGTAGAAAAGAACACTTTTTTTCTTTTTATATTTCTTACTTTGTATGTAGTACATACATGCCTATATATTTTATATACTAAAGGTATCCCATTTATAAATTAAAAGCACATTGTATTCAGTAGGTTATAATGGGGCTGGTCTTAAGTGGACCACTATGTGTATAAATATTTTGGGGAAAACAGCTGTATATGTTTTGGGGCAGCAGTTATACATATTATTTACCAGGAGAAACTTTTTCTTAAAGAGCCAACATTTGAAATTTAAAGTATGTGTTCTATGTCAATAAAAGAAAATAGACTTTATTGTGACTTCAACTATGTTTCTTATACCTTACATTTTTATTTAAAATTTTTAGCCGGATATATGCTAAAGAGAGAAAACTGTGGAATGCTATAGTAAATACTGTTTTCAAACACAAGTACTAGTCCATATGAAGTTATTTTCATTTAACATAATCTTAAACATATTTGGGATCCTTTTGAGGGGATGTCAAAAAAGGTTAAAAATTTAAGTTAAAAAACACACACCGTTAGAAATAAAGCCAAGATCACTTTCCACCCAAATATGTTATTAATTGCTGATAAGCAATTATAATTTCTATTTGGGATGACAATTACCTCTGCTTACTGTCAAAACTTTAAAAGGTTTACTATTAGAAATGGCTTCCAATGAAACCAAGAATTTCTCAAAATATTTAGTATTGCGTGTGCCTAATGTAGCTTCTTAATGTCAATTTTAAAAACATCCTAAAATTAATTGCTGTTTACTGCAAGTAAGAATATACTGCCTCCTAATTATTTTATTCAATCAGTGCTGAAAATGGAAAAATATTTATATGTTAATATGAAAAGTTTTGTTTGGAATCAATGCTAACTTGAATTTGCAGTGCTCGTTGTGCTGTTTCTAAATTGTTGAATCTGCTGGGTTTTTATTGATGCTGCTGCCACTTTCGTGACATAAATATTAAAGAAAGGTACTGTGAAATTACTACTTTGTGGCAGGGTACTTTTAAACATACTGATGTTTCTACAAAGGTAGTTTCAGTTCATTGTAAATAATTGTGAAAATCACTGTTCAGATAACATTAAGATTACATTAATTTTCTATAAATGGCAATATTTGTAAATGTTTGAAATTGTACACATTGATATTTCATGATAAATGTGCTTAAAATAAATTGACCCCTCATTCTTACTTGCATTTCTCATTTGCAGTCTATAACTTAGTTCTAAATCAAATGAAAAAAGATGTTTAGGAAATGAGAAACTCGGCTATTAGCACTTGATCAGGCACATTCTGCAGAAAGAACCAACAGTCGAGGAAGTCGTTTCTGGAATGATGAGCACCTCAATCATCCTATTACAAAAGACTACACTGTCTATGCAGAAAATACCCCAGCAAGGTTAGCAGCCTTTATCAATAAGGGTCTCTCGTTGACTGACAATGACTTCCTAGTTTCATTCTATGCTTATTTTTCTCTACCTGCATTAGTTGGTGGAGTCAAGTATACCATTACTCCCTCAACTCAATACCCCACACCTTAATCTTTTTTTCTCTAACTGATGGGTAAAATAATGGATCTTTGCTTCTGAATTTTTTAGTGTGTTTCTTTTGAAGTGCCTGAAGCTCAGTTCTTTGGTTTATGGGTGTTTGATATCATGCAAAAATGAAAAATGATACCTATTTAGAAGAAATCACCAAATGAAAGATGTCATAGCAAAGAAACAACATTGGCAGTAGAGTAGGTGGTATTTACTTCAGAGTGTCTACCTAATAGTACAACAATTATTTTTATAGCTTTAATGAGGTATAATTGATATATAGAAAACTGGACATATTTCATGCATGTAATTTGATGAGTTTGGACCTATGCATACACCTATCATACCATCACCACAATCAAGGTAATAAATCTTTCCTTCACCTCCAAAACTTTCCTTGTGTCCTTTTGCTGTGTGCGTGTGGTAAGAATGCTTCATACAAGATCTGCCCTGTTAAATTTTTAAGTGCACAGTATGGTGTACGAAGAGCTCCTTAAAGCCATTGGAAAACTCAGCATAATGTACTCTACTTCTATCCATAAATTGTGGTACAGCCACAAAATAGAAAATATAGCTTCAGAAAGAATGAGGATACTGTCTAGAAACATGGAAACATCCAGGAAAAGAGGAAAAGCAAGGTGCAGAGGATTGCATGTATTACCTTTCCATTTAAAAAAGATGGCTAGGATCTTTGCCCATGCTGGAAGGACATAGAAGAAGCTGTTAATAGTGTTCACTTGTGTTACATGCCCTTGCGTCCCGCTCCAATTCCTGGCCACCCTGTGAATGATGTCTGCAATGTCCTGTCCTCAACAGCCCTGCTCAGCTCCTGAAGACTCATTCCTATGACTTTTTTTTTCTTTATTGGTTAAGGTATTACATATCTGTCCTTACCCCCCCCCCATTGCTCCCACCCCCCCGCTCATGCCCTCACCCCCCTGTTGTCTGTGTCCATTGGTTAGGCTTATATGCATGCATACAAGTCCTTTGGTTGATCTCTCCCCCTTACCCCCACCCTCCCCTGCCTTCCCTTTGAGGTTTGACGGTCTGATCGATGCTTCTCTGTCTCTGGATCTGTTTTTGTTCATCAATGTATGTTGTTCATTATATTCTCCAAATGAGTGAGATCATGTGATATTTTTATTTCTCCAACTGACTTATTTCTCTTAGCACAATGCTCTCCAGGTCCATCCATGCTGTTGCAAATCCTATGACTTATTTTATGGACCCAATCCATCTCATATTTGGTCTTCTTGTTCTGCTGCCTTTTATTTTTCCCAGCATTATTATCTTTTCCCAAGGACCCTTCACATGGTTTGCCCGAAGTAGGACAGCTTCAGGTTTGTCATTTTTTGCCTCCCACAATGTTTCAGGCTTGATTTGCTCTAGTTCCCACTTGTTTATCTTTCTGGTGGTCCAGGGTACCCATAGAGATCTCTAATGCTATCTTTAAAATGAATCATTTTTTTCCTACCCTATTCCCAGATATTTTTCTTAGTAAATTCCGTCAAACATTTAAGGATGAAATAATACAAGTAATCTGCAATCTTTTTCAGAAAATATAAGACAGTAGCATGCTTAATTCTTTTAGTGAGGCCAGCATTACCCTAAGCCCAAAGCCAAGTAAATATATTACTAGAAAAGTATAGACAAATATTTCTCATGTACATAGATTTTTAAATCCTTAAAATAATAGCAAAAATCCAGCAGTATATAAGAAGAATAATGCCTTATTATGAAGTGGGGCTAATTTCCAGAATTTACAAATCAACACTGATAAATCAATTAGTGTACTTCATCATATAATAGACTGAATTAAAAATGATCATATCAATGGATGTAGAAAAATATTAAAAAATTTTATTACCCATTTATGTTAAAATCTGAAAATTAGGATTAGAAGGGAATTTCCTTAACCTGATACAGGGTACATAAGAAAACAGCTAATATTATGCCTAATGATGAAAGAGTGAATGCTTTCCTCCTAAGATTGGAAACACCAAGGATGTCTTATTACTCCTATTCAGTGTTGTAATGGAAGTCCTATCTTGTGCAAGACTACTTTGGAATTAAGAAATCCAAATTAATTTTATCTAAGAGAAGCAATGATTTTTTTTTTTTGCATTGTACTATTAGCGAGAAATATAATTGTGGATGTATAGATGCTAAGGCATAGTGAAACATTGCCTTGCTTCCAAAACTTCTTGGAGCTCTGCTGTAGAAAGACATTTACAAAGTTTTTATCCAGCCCGGCCAGTGTGGCTCAGTGGTTGAACCAGGAGGTCGCCTTTAAATTCCTGGTCAGGGAACAATAGGCAGTGTGCAGGAGGCAGCCAATCAATGATTCTATCTCTCCCTCATCCTCTGTGAAATCAATAAAAATATATTTTTGAAATCAAAAAGTTTTAATCCAAAACAGTAAGATGCTAACTTGCAATTATGTGAATGGTCTCAGAGATATACTGTTCCTTTCTCTGCCTTAAGGTTTCTAGGTTAAGGAATAATGAGTTCTGTTCCTAAAATTGCTTTTAGTGGTGCTAATTTTAGTCCCCTTGGGGAAGGTATTGGAGAAAGGAAGGTAGAGTTTGTCTTACATGCTTTAGTGATCAATTGACTTTAGTATATCCAAATGAACTTAGCCATTTTAACTTAATGTGCTTAAAGATTTTCTGAGATCAAAAGGGAAAAGGGATTAAAATTCAATTCCAACATCAAATATTTGGTTACTAAAGTAAAATATACTTAGGTTGTTAGCTTTATGTAAATACCTTCTCAAAACAATAACAAAAAGTTAGGTTAGTGACTTTTTTAACATCAAATTTTCAGTTTAGGGTAGTTGTAGTTTTTGATAGCTGGGGATATCAGTTATCTATTGTTGCATAGGACACTACCCCAAAACTTCATGGATTTACACCATAACCATTTTATTGGTCACAATTTTGTGACCATCAATTTGGTCTGAGCTCAGTGAGGGCAGTTCTGTTGGTCTTGTCTGGATCACTCGTGGGCATACTGTCAGATGACAAGTTGGCTGGGGGCTGGCTGGCCCCAGTTGACCTCACTTAACCATCTGGCAGTTAGCCGAGGCTGCTGGCCTAAGCACCTAAGTTGTTTTCCATCTTGCCTAGCCAGCAGGGTAGCTCAAACTTTCCCCCATGGTTCCAACAGGGCAAAGTGGAAGTTGTAAGGCCTCTTGAGGCCTTGGCTTTGGCAGTTCCACAATGTCACTTCCATTGCTCTCTGTTGGTCAGAGCAAATCATAAGGCTGGCCTAGATTCAAGGGAAGGGAACACTGACTCTACCTCTTCATAGGAAAAACTGCAGATAGTCTATTGAATATTTATCTATCATACTAGCTTATTTAGATAAACCCGCTCATTCAAAAATGTCAAAATAGCCCTGATGGTGTGGCTCAGTGGTTGAGCCTTAACCTATGAACCAGGAGGTCACGGTTGGATTCCTAGTCAGGGCATGTGCCTGGGTTGCAGGCTCAATCCCCAGTGTGGGGTGTGCTGGAGGCAGCCAATTAATGACTCTTTCTCATCATTGATGTCTATCTCTCCTTTCCTCTCTGAAATAAAAGTATTTTTTTAAAAAAAAAAAACAAAATGTCAAAATAGTAGCCCTGGCTGGTAAGCCTGGATTGGGCCGGTGCACCCAAGGTTTGCTGGTTCAATTCCCAGTCAGGGCACATGCCCTGGTTGTGGCTCAATCCCTAGTCCCCTGCAGGAGGTGATGCTCAGAGGTGGCAATCAATGTTTCTCCTCCCCCCTCTCTCTTCCTCTCTCTCTAAAAATCAATTTAAAAAATCTTTACCTTAAAAGTATTGAAAAGCTGAAAAGACAGTAGTGAACCTCCAGGCTAATTTTTAATTTGGAAATGATAGCCTGTAATCAGAGATATCCTATATAATAAAAGGCTAATATGCAAATTGACCAAACGGCAGAATGACCGTTTGCTATGACACGCGCTGACCACCAGGGGGCAGATGCTCAATGCAGGAGCTGCCCCGTAGTGATCAGCGCGCTCCCACAGGGGGAGCACAGCTCAGCCACAAGCCCTGAGTCAGGCTTATGGTTGGAGAGCACAGTGGTGGTGGCAGGAGCCTCTCCCGCCTCTGTGGTAGTGCTAAGGATGCCCATGGGGAGCAGGCCAAGCCATCAGTAGGACATCCCCCAAGGGCTCCTGGACTGCAAGAGGGTGCAGGCCAGGCTGAATGATGCGCCCCCCACCACCACCGCCCAGTGCACAAATTTCGTGCACTGGGCCTCTAGTAAGCTATAAGAGCACCAAAGTTGAATAAGCTTCACACTTGGAATCCAGAAGTCCAGAATTAGGGCTCATTCAAAATAAAGGAAGTCTTATACAAATTTCTCCAGCATTACAGGAGGATCCAAAAAGACTATACCTCCAGGATAAGGACAGGATCTACTCCCTCACCCCCTATCCCAGGAGACTACAGAGAAGGCTGCCTTGACTCTGAGTGAAAGCTAGAGAAGAAAGAAAAAGTGATGATCTTGAGCTCTGCCTGGGTTTGACAGTCATTAGTTTTGTGGCCTTTGTCTAGTTGTTTAACTTGCTTGCATCATTCCGTCATCTAGAAAATAAAGATAAGAATCTCCACCTTTTAAGAGTTGTGAGGGTTAAGGGAAACAATACAAATTGCTTAGAATAGGTGTCATGAGCAATTGCTCAATAAATGTTATTTAATAGTTAGGAAAATAGTCATGATAAGATAAGGTGTTACAAAAGCAAGAGGGTTGCCTGGCTGGGCTGGTGTGGCTTAGTGATTGTCAACCCATGAACCAGCAGGTCACTGTTCGATTCCCGGTCAGGGCACATGCCTGGGTTGTGGGCTCGATCCCTGGTCAATGATTCTCTCTCATCATTGATGTTTCTATCTCCCTCTCTCTCTTTGAAATAAAAAAGAAAAAGGCCTTAGCCAGTTTGGCTCAATAGATCGTCAACCTGCTGACTGAAGGGTTCTGAGTTCAATTTTGTTCAAGGACACGTACCTCAGTTGCAGGCTGGATCCCTGGCACATTTGGGAGGCAACCAATTGATGTGTGTCACATTGATGTTTCTCTTTCTGTCTCCCCCTCTCCTCTACTGTTTCTAAAAATCAGTGGAAAAATATCCTCCTGTGAGGATTAACAATAAATAAAAATTTTAAAAAGGAAGAGGGTCTACTGGTGTTTTACTTTTTCCGTCTGGATCCTCCTGGTCCCTTCATGCCCTATGCCCAGGTTGAAATGTCAAATGCCCACAGAGGCCAGACAAGAAATGTAAAGAGGTGAGAGAGAAAGTAAAGAAAACAGGGAGAGCCCTAGCCGGTTTGGCTCAGTGGATAGAGAGTCAGCCTGCGGACTGAAGGGTCCCGGGTTTGATTCTGGTCAAGGCCACATGCCCGGGTTGTGGGTTGGGTCCCCAGTAAGGGGTGTGCAGGAGACAGCCCATCAATGATTCTCATCATTGATGTTTCCATCTTCCTCTCTCCTCTGAAATCAAAAATATATTAGAAAGAAAACAGGGAGAGACAGACTCTGTAGCAAACAGACCACATGCCCTATGTGAATGAGGATTATTGCCATAGGAGAATGCAAGCCCCTGCTACAATATCTTTTTGTTTGTTTGTTTGTTTGTTTGTTTTTTGAAGAAATCAAATAAATATTTATTGAACAAATGCAAAATAAATGAACTCGAGGGTGTTTTAACCTGAAAATACAATAAACAACTTCAAATATTCAGAGGGCTATCACACGAAAAATGAAAGACTTGTTCAGTATTTTTCCAAAAGGCAGAACTGAACCGAGGGGTAAACACAGCACCCAGCAGGCTGCAATACAGCAGTACAAAGTGTTACTCATCTCAATAGCTTCTTCCCAATACACGTTTCCCTCGTCTGAGAAGAAACAGCACAACATAACACTTCTCATAAGCGTCTAAAGTGTCTCAAGTCCCACTTCCACGGCACGCCCTCCACTGCCAGCAACGGATGCACTCACACTAAGGGAGGAACCCAACAATCTGGTTCACTAAGGAAACGTCTCTTGTTCCTCATCATCCTATATCAGTGACTCGTGGGAGCGGAGGAGAAAAGAGAGCATATTCTCCAAAGAGGGTGCCTCAGGACCACCCCCAATTCAGACAACGCCCCCAGGGACAGCCTTCCTCAAACCGGATGGGATAGCACCGGGTGCGGGTGGGACAGACGCTGCCATGCACTGTGCTGCGTGAGGCGGGGGGCTGCGCCTACGAGTCCCGGAAATATAGGCTGACTGCGTCGTCCTGGCAGCCTCACCCACACTGCCAGCTGCCACCAAAGGAGAACTGTCTCACCACTACTCAGCATGATGTGCAAGGACAAATATATAACATGCTTTATATTACATCTGTATTTTATCACATACTCAGTATGGAGCGCCGAGGTGCTTAATCCATCCAATAAACTGAAAATACAAAATTACATTTGTCAGGATACGGAACGCTGATGAGGTGTCATCGTAAAGCAGATGAGGCGTCAATTTTCGAGGAAAGCCACGTAATCGGTGAGCCTGGCGAGCTGCTGTTCGTTGGGGATTGGGGATTGGCGGAACTGGGGCAGGCTCTGATAAGGGAATAAACCTGTTAAAGGAGACATCCAAGGCCCCTGCAACTGGCTTTTTGGGCATGACCATTCTTGTGGTGGAGTCAGCTTGCCATCCTTGCTCCAATATCCCTTTCACAGCCTCTTCCACAGGGAACCCAACAAACGCTGCGAAGTCGTCCGCGATGATCGAGGTGTAGGCCTGAGAGACCAGGGCGAAGGCCCGTCTCCTCGTTGCCTCTCTAAGTGCTTCCATGATCGGCTGGACCGTCTCAGACCACTGGTGAGCGTTGATGGTCGTGTAGATTCCAGGGAAATCTCTCTGCCAGATTCTCTGTCCTACTGACCAAATGCCCCCAAGTTCAGAATTTGCAGATTTTATAGCAGGTGGTATTCTTTTCCAAAGATATCTTGCATTATTCATGTCATTATGGAGCAGATATAAAGCTAGAAGCTGACCATACACTGGGGGTGTAGCAATTCCTCCAGGTGCCTCGAGCTCCTGGTTCTCGCACTGATCTAGCAACTTTTTGAAACTAAAGGCACCTTCTGCCATGACGGCCACGGGCATCTTCCCTGCCGGTCCCACTCCTGCACCTTACAATATCTTAATTAGCACAATCCTACTCATATAAAGTAAACATTTGGGAAATAAGAATAGACTAAATTAAATTCAGAAGCTCTTGGGAGGCAGGTTACCAAAGTATAAAAAACACTGCATGTCCTTGAGAAGGAGGAGCCAGAATTTTAATCTAAATCTGTTTTCAGGGGGAAATGCCTGCAAAGTTTAATATAAAATATTGACCCTCTGGTTTATAAAATGTTGCTCATGTGAGGTGATAGTTAGGCAATAATAATAATAATAATAATAATATTTATTGAGTTGTTGCTATATATCCAGCTTAACTGCTTTACATACTTTCTCATACATTATCACATTTAATTCTCAGAAATACTCTTTAAGTTAGTTGATAATATTTCCACTCTGCCTAGATAATTTATTTAGCTATTACAGTAAGTTTTGTTTCTGCTGTATTTTTTTCCCCTTTTAACCCTTTGAGGGGGAGAAAGAGATAAATGCTTCTAAGGGCAGTGAGTGAGGAAAAAAGGAGACAGAGCACGGAGTTTCCACCACAGGTGACACTCAGGTTCTTCTCCCTACAGAGACTTGGCAAGGGAGCCTCAGAGGCCTCTCAGGTGAACAGGAGCAGACGATGGAGTGGTTCGTACTCAAAATTGATTTCAGAGAGGAAGGGAGAAGGAGAGAGAGAGAGAGAGAGAGAGAGAGAGAGAGAGAGAGAGAGAGAGAGAGAGAGAGAGAGAGAGAGAAAGAAACATCAATGATGAGAGAGAATCATTGCTCGACTGCCTCCTGCACAACCCCTACTGAGGATCAAGCCTGCAACCCAGGCATGTGCCCTTGACCAGAATCGAACCCAGGACCCTTCAGTCCCCAGGCCGATGCTCTATCCACTGAGCCAAACTGGCTAGTGCCCAAAGCCAATGTTCTTAACCAAACTTCTTAGCATCCTTGACTCTCTTCTGATCATGATTAACTATTGTTCTACCAGGTGCATTTCTGGGGCCAAAAGCTGAATAATGTACACTTCTAGAAATGGTAGTGGGCCCAGCTGGTGTGGCTCAGTGGTTGAGCTTTGACCTATGAAGCAGGAGGTCACGGTTCTATTCCCAGTCAGGGCATATGCTGGGGTTGCGGGCTGGATCCCATTGTGGGACGTGCAGGAGGCAGCTGATCAATGATTTTCTCTCTTCTTTGATGCTTCTATCTCTCCCTCTCCCTCTCGGAAATTAATAAAAAATATATTTTAAAAAGATGGTAGTGGAATAGTAGTGACGTGGAATTCAGCCACTTACCCTGCAATCCTACGGTGTTAGCTTTGATTCCACATTCTAGTGTATGATACAGACTTGCTTCCTAGAAGTGTGGCCCACTTTCACTCAAAGTTGCTATGATGACTATTTGCAGATGTATTTACTTTCAAGCCTTTATTTTCTACTTCAGTAACCTCTGCCATTCATATTTATTATTAATCCATAAAGCATACATAATTATACCTAAGTAGGGGACTCTAAATTAGCAAATTCCTATCCCATCAACCACAGAAGATTTATCCGTTCTAGGAGTAATTAATCTTTTTCATCACTGATTCTCTGGAGGGATTTCAGAACTTATTTTCATGGCCATTGCTTCTCCGATAACTGGCAAAGTAGCCTGAGCAGCCTTTGAAAGTGCTGGATGTTTGATAAATGTCTAGAACTTTCATTTAAAGTTGAGGACAGAAGGTAATTCTTCCTCTGTGAATAATAACACCAGAAAAGGAAAGAGCGTCTTCATATACTTAAGACAAAAAGGGCACAGTGAGTGATACACTTGATAACTTAGTTTAGTGAAGAAATTTCTTTCCCATCTGTTCTGGCAACTGACAAGTATAGAAATAATAGACAAACTAAAATGTCTCTGTTAATTTCATAAATAAAATGGATAAAAGAAAAGGCATCTCGCCATAGCTGGTTTGGCTCAGTGGATAAAGCGTTGGCCTATGGACTGAAGGGTCACAGGTTCGATTCCAGCCAAGGGCACATGCCTGGGTTGCAGGCTCGATCACCACTAGGGGGCATGCAGGAGGCAGCCAATCAATGATTCTCTCTCATCATTGATGTTTCTATCTCTCCCTCTCCCTTCATCTCTGAAATCAATTATATATATATATGAAATATAAGTCATTGAAAATCCTTATTAGCTAACCCCATACAGATAAAGGACAGTGAGAAACACAGGGAGCTGACCCAGGTTCACCTTAGATTAGCAGACTCCCCAGCTGCCCCACAGACATGTAAGCAAAATCAACATTTATTGTTGTATCCATAGAAATGTGTTTTGTCATTCCATACCAATAGCTGATTGATATATCATAGTGTCTGTTAGAAAGAACATTTTTTAAAATGGAAAGCTTACATAAGCAAATGTATAGTGATCCATGAAGTACTTGAAGTCAAATACAAGATATTTGAAGCCAGAAAATAATTCAAAATTTCCTCATTAGATGCACCAAAAAGAAATCACAAAGAAGTTATCTTGCAGTGGCCAGAGAGCTGGCTTGGGAATTGATGCATCAAAACCATGGCAGTTCATGCCTTGGCCAGTTCTGCTCAATGGATAGAGCATCTGCCTGCAGGGTCCTGCAATTGATTCTGGTCAAGGGCATCTACTTCAGTTGCAGGCTGGATTCCTGGCTCTGGCCGGGGCACATGGGGGAGGCAACCAACTGATGTGTCTGGCATCAATGTCTCTCTGTGCCTCTCCCCTTCCCTTCCACTTTCTCTAAAAGTCAATGGAAAATTATCCTCACATAAGGATTAACAATATCCTATATAATAAAAGGGTAATATGCAAATTGACCCTAAAGGCTGAATGACCAGGAACAACTGGTCGCTATGATGTGCACTGACCACCAGGGGGCAGACACTCAACGCAGGAGCTGCCCCCTGGTGGTCAGTGTGTTCCCACAGGGGGAGCTCTGCTCAGCCACAAGCTGGGCTGATGGCTGTGAGTGCAGCAGTGGTGCCCACATCCTCGGCAGTGCTAAGGATGTCTGACTGCCAGCTTAGGCCCGATCCCTCGGGGATCGAGCCAAAGCTGGCAAGTGGACATCCCCCAAGGGGTCCTAGACTGCGAGAGGGTACAGGCCAGGCTGAGGGACCCCCCCAAGTGCACAAATTTTTGTTCACCTGGTCTCTAATATATATATATATATATATATATTGGTTCAGAAGGACAGCCAAGGCCTGAGATGAGCATCAATTAACTATGCTCTGGTCTTAACCACTGAAAACATACATTATGTCACTACAGCTAGACACTAGGTCAGGAACACTAGGTCAAGCCCAGCCAGCATGGCTCAGTGGTTGAGCATCGACCTATAAACCAGGAGGTCACTGTTCGATTCCAAAGTTGGAGCACATGCCCAGGTTGTGGGCTCCATCCCCAGTGTGCAGGAGGCAGTCAATCAATGATTCTCTCTCATCATTGATATTTCTATCTCTCTATCCCTCTCCCTTCCTCTCTAAAATCAATAAGAATCTATTTCTGAAAAAAAGAACACTAGGTCAAATAGTGGTTGTGCCTAGATAATAATCTATTGTGTCTATATAAGGTAAATCAATCCCTGAGATCATAGGAAATCTGTTAGGGGCAGAAATAGAATATTGGGGACTAGCTACAGTTATAAGAAATATTAATCATGCTCTGTTAACTGTGATTGTTCTGTTCTGATTAGAGAAAGCACATTTTAACCTGGCTGAGAGTTGTATGCACTGGGAACTAACATCGGAATCAGTCCATCCTAATTCCCAAGAACTGCCTATCATTATGGAAAGATTTACAACCCAGTGGCTGAAACAATCTAGTCCTAGAGGCACCCTCCCTTTGCAACCCCCAGCCCATATTGCCTGTAATCTGATCCTGGAAGTGCCCAGAGGCACCAGTCCTCTGGATCTCCCTCACCCCCCAGCCTGCATTGCCTGTAACCTGTAACCATCATACTTTGCCTACTTCCCCATGCCTGTAATTCTTATTCTCCCACGTAATCTTTGCCTTCTACCCCATATAAGCAGCTGGCTTATGGTTGGGGGTGGGGCAGAGAAAATTTACATACATGACCTGCTGCACTCCCATACTGCCAGTATTATTGGAATAAATGCTCATATATGATTTAAACCTGTCTTTGCTGAATTGACTCAAGTAGTGACAGCGGCCCGGACCCATTGGCTGTCCGGTTACAAATCCACCCCCGAGTTTTGAAGTCACTCATAGTTAAAACAATTTAACCATGTGTGGCAGGTTGTTTCAGTAATTGTCCCCAATTTGGTCAGAGCTCTCTATATCCATGGCCCTGAGAGATCCTCTTGTGCAATGACTCAGGGAGAGACAATGTGACTTGCTTTGTCCAATGAGACAACAGTAAATGAGGTGCAAGCAATAGCTTGAAAAGTGATAGCACTTAGGGAATTGCTACTCTTGTTATTCTCTGGAGCCCTGAGACCACCAGGTAAAGAAGTCAGGCTTGCGGACTGAAAGGTCCCAGGTTCGATTCCGGTCAAGGGCATGTACCTGGGTTGCGGGCACATCCCCAGTGGGAGATGTGCAGGAGGCGGCTGATCGATGTGATGTTTCTCTCTCATCGATGTTTCTAACTCTCTGTCTCTCTCCCTTCCTCTCTGTAAAAAATCAATAAAATATATATTTAAAAAAAATAAATAAATTAAAAAAAAAAAAATTCAGGCTTGCCCTAGCAGGTTTGGCTCAGTGGATAGAGCATTGGCCTGCGGACTGAAGGTTCAATTCAGGTCAAGGGCATATGCCTGGGTTACAGGCTCGATCGATCCCCAGTAGGGGGCATGCAGGAGGCAGTCGATCAATGATTCTCTCATTATTGATGTTTCTATCTCTCCCTTCCGCTCTGAAATAAATAAAAATATATTTTTAAAAAAGTCAGCCTTATCCAGTGGAGATGAGATCACGTGGAACAATCAATAAGTTCTCAGCTGAGGGCTTTTAGGCAGCAGAACAGACA